GAGTGTTTTAATACATATAATGTTTTACAAGTTTGCCTACATATTGATATCTGTAGAGAACCATTGAAAACCAAGTGGGAGTACTAGATAGCTGTTTCACCCTATTTTGGGACTCATCGCCAGTAGGCATCCGCCCGGGTAGGAACCCAAGGCCTTCCGTTTACAAGGGAAGCTTATTGATCATTCAGTCACTGGAAGTCGACTAGGTGGCCCATGAATTCTGACTTCTAAAAATTCGGTTATCTTCCTTCACGTCCCCAGTGGAACATAGGGCTTCAAGGTAGAGGCTTGAAGTTTTTGTGACAGTGTTTACTTTTACAGGATAGGGTTGCTAGCTCATGCCCAACCTTTCTCTTTACCAGCATTATTCCTGGTTAGCGAGGTAAAGAGTGAGTCGGCCGGGGATCGAACCCTGGACTATGTGCATGGTCGGTGAGCGTCCTAACCGCTATGCCACCAATTCGGTCTGCGAATTCTCTTTTTAACCGGAGGTCCTGGATTCCTACTCGGTGGTTGCGTACTGACGATAAGTTCCAAAATAGGACGAAATAACTGTCTAGTGCTCCCACTTGGTTTTCAATGGTTCTCTAACGGACATCACTCCATGGCCAAATTTAAAATGAATCAAATCCCTGCCAACCAGCTCTTGAAATTATTTCATATTATAAAAGAATAACAAAAATTAAGGAACGTCTGCATATTCTGCGAATTAGTCACAAAACCGGACGAAGTTCAGTAGATGAAAATTTTATAAACCTAATTCATAGGACAACAACAGGTATTGAATCAAAATGGAATGGTTAATTCTGCGTGTGTATTATATTTCGATACAGTTTTTGACGGCTGAAAAACTTCTTTCAGTTTCACTTTTGATCATCCTTTCGATTTCCTGGAATTTTGTCTCCCTTTCGATTGGAAAATAAATAATTTTCTCTTTTCATTAGGTGGCTATCCAATGTTTGCTATTTTTTCTAATCAGGACTTAATTATGAATCTCTCTGAATATCTACTCTTTACGAAACGTCTTTCAAAGGTCCTATATAGCACCTGTTACAGTTTTTCAAACTTAGCCTCTTAGTTTTGTTTTAATGCAACCTTACCAGTTCAAGCTTATAGATGAGTGGAAAAAAGTCACCGCATTGCACTTACTGTCTGTTGAGGCTCTCTTCCTTCTTTGTTTCTAATCGTACCATAATTTCTCGTTATCATGATTAAATTAAAGGAATTAAACTTCCTGCAGTGCTTATATTACATGGTCTTTTATTTTAGAATGGATTTCTTTGAAATTACAAGACAACTAAGATACATAGTTCATGTCATAATAAATGACAAGTATGTGTTTACAAAAATTAGTTGTTTCTCGGACCACAGCTTTTATTCATAACTGGTTGGGACATACCATGAGAATGGCAGAGAGAATAGATTCTAAAGGAGAGTCTTTTCAATTGCTTGTATATTTGCGATAAACGCATCATACATACATCACATCATACAAAACCGTAAATTTGTTATGTGAGTCAATTTTACATACTTTCTCGAGAATTGGAAAAAAATTCTTTTTCAAACTACGGATAGGAAACTACACCAATTACACAGTGGATGGGTTAGACTGGATAAGCTACCATGGATTATTTTTCAGCGAGTAATTTTGTCAGACTAATTGAAACTTAGATTGATGGGCTCTGATATTATGGGCTTTGCTGATAAATGACGGTACATAAAAGGGTCTCCTAAGCTTCAGCTTGATCCAGCAGTTGCAGATTGACTGTTAAAATTTATGACTGTAACTTTTCAAGTTTCCAATGATACTTGTAGTAAATCTGATTACAATTTCGTTTAGGATTCACTATGATGTTGTCTTTTTGTGTTTTATCCTTTGTTGAAAAGTAGAAAGTATAAAAGCAAATATGTATGTTAATATATACTCTTAAAATCATATCTAAAAATGTTTTTATTAGCATAACACACATTCATGTAAAGTTACTAACTGGTTATTTTCAAAGGAACAATTTAACTCCCATATTCTAATCCCTGTAATTAAAGGACTTCAGAACTCGTCTTTTATGATTACACTTACTCCTTTTCTTTCTATATAATTTTTCAAATATCCAGCGTTGTTGCTGCATCATTCTTGATACACCTGTCGGTTTCTGACTAAATGGGCAAAGTTTCACAGATCAAACTTTCTCTCTTTTTCTACTTGGCTATTATTATTATTATTTCATTATTATTCCCTTGATTTCCGAGTGGAGCATACAGCTTCAACAACACATCTCCACTTTGTTCTGTTTTCTGCCGTTCTTTTCAACTGGATCCACGATTGACTGAACTCTCTCATCTCTTCCCACACGAGCTCCTCCATATCATCCTAGGACGATCTACTCATCGCTTCTAATTGGGATTACACTCAATGGCTGGTGTACGATGTCATTCAACGGCTTCTTCAATGTATGCCGATCCATCTTCACTTTCTCTATATATTTGTTGAGCGCTCGGTTCTTGTTTAGTTTGTTCCCAAAGTTTCTTGGGAACTTGACTATATAACATTTTTTAAACTTTTACTCGACCTCATCTTGTTGGGTGATTGGTTCTAGATGTATGCACACGATTCTAGTCAAAGTTTGTTCTGTCTTTTGAAGAAGTCATACGGAATTTGTTTTATCGCGAGTAAGGCTTTAGAAATTACAGTGTAGATCAGGAACCTGGGTACTTCCATTTACAGGAAAATCTTGTAGACCACTGAGCCTTTGCGACCCGACCTGATGGCCTATAAACCGGGGTGAATGCTTACTGCCAGTGAGTTTCAGACTAGGATGAAATAGGCGTCCAGTATTCTCTGGTTTGAAATGGTTCTCTAATTGATGTCAATCCGTGGTTAAATTTGAAATAGGTTTTATTGCAAATTAGTTTCTTGATGGAGACTGGTTTGTATACGCTGATGACATACAAGGATAATGAAGAGCTGCTTCAAAAGAAATCTAAAAATTCAGAATAAAAGACTTAACAGTGAATTCACAACGTTGGTTGGAGTTTCTTATTATCATTTGAAAAGTAAACTTTCAAACTGCACAGCGTATGTGCAGGAATAGCTCTATTTTAGTAGAAACAACTTTCACTGTAAGTTTTAAGAAAAAAACAATTGCAGTACACTTTTTAATTTCTGAGCGTGAACCAAATTGTCACCTAAGAGGAAGTGATGTATAACAGTTGGTAAACAGACTGAACGATGATTTCGGTATTCCTAATAATATAATCTCATCGGTGGCTCAGCGGTGGAATGCTTGCTAACAACGCAAAGGGTCCGAGTTCCAGTCCACGACCAACGCACCCCTAAACCTCTGTCATCGGTTAGTGAGGGAGGATTGATCGTGGGGCTAATAACCTTGTAAGCAATAAAACACATGCTATCGGGACATTACAGCTCTAGCTTGAACCCCTACATTCCACTTACAACGTGAAGGAACACAAGGGAAAAAATATAAATCTTAGGCAAATACTTAACATGAATTATTAACTAACTTCAACTGGGTTTTATTTGGTGGATGTTGACTAGCAGTTAGATACAGGATGGGCATTTCGTCCTATTGGGACTCGTCATCTGGTTTTACCTGAATTTCCTAGTGAGTGATGATGTTCTCGAACCAAGTGCCCGTGGTTTTATTAATTATTTACTTCACTTTTAGATTTTCTCGTAGACTGATCGCATGGAAGTGCTCGGTCTCGATCTACTGGAAAAGTGAATTAAATAATTAATAAGACTGATGCACAAGAGATGGTTCTAGTGACCCAAGTGGTCTAATGGATAACGCCTTAGCGTTCGAAACCACGGGCACTTGGTTCGAGTCTCGGTGGGAACACCATCACTCATTGGGGCATGCGGGTACATTTAGATGACAAGTCCCAAATGGGACGAAATGCTCATCCTGGATTCTACTGCTAGTCACCATCCACCAATTGACTTCAAGTTACATGACCAGAAATAGTCGAAGAATCTGCATAAAGAGACTAAGCACTTCAGTCTAACCATTCGACGGGAAAATCCAAAATCAAATTAAAGTGAATTTTATTCATCTATTTGAATACCTTGCAGCATGTTCTTGGTTTTTGGTTTATTTGATTCTACCTGCTATCGCGGACTTTTCATTTTTATCACATGAGTACTAAATAGACGATATTTCTTTGGGGTTTTAAATCTTTTACCCAATTTGTATTCTGACTTTAAAAATGGATGATAAATACCTTTTAGAATTTAGTAAAAGTAATGCTCAGTAATAAATTGTTGAAATTTCTCGTTTCTCGTTTTTTAAGTTTACTGAACCTAAAAATGCTCGGTTATTTGTAAGATATAACTCTTACTACACCTTCCATGAGGTTAACATGATAAAACATTGACATTTGAAGGGACAGAAACTAGTTGTGAATCCGTTTGGGATCGAGATATATGCACCTGACGACAGACAAACTGATGGTAACTCCTCCTCTCCATGGATTCTACTGGGAATTTATCATCAACCAAATCATCAAGTCCTGGAATAACTTACGACCTCTGAGCCAAAATAAAGATTTGCATCTATGATCGTCTTCGACACACATAGTGAAACTAGACTCTTTTCAATTTCAATGAGGGGTAAAATGTATCAGAATTGAAAAATGGTGGTTACTATACAAATTCTTTTATCAGTGCTTCCTTACCCTTGAAAATATTCCATAAATAATGCATTTTTCTCAATCCACATATGTGAAGATTGGCTTTTAATTACAGATTTTCAATACGTAAGCTCATTAATGACTTTCGAGGCTACACTTTAAATAAAATTGATGATTATTTTGGTGACTTTGCGAATAATTATTGCTAACACATGGTTAAACATGCAGTAAAATACTTGCCATTTATTTGAATATTTGACTCTTCAATCCATTCATACTGAACTTTATTTATTGCAGTTCTAAGAAAGAAAAATTAAATTGAAAATTCCCTTTTTTTTCTTCTCTATTTACAGAAAATTTATGAGAAAAGGTTAATTTTGCAAATATATAATTCTACAACACAGATTGTTTGGGATCTCAACTCTATACAATTCAATTTTTGCATATTTTTACACCGATAGAAGAAATTCAATTGTTTCTTCAGAAAAAAGTATACATTACCCATATAGTAATAACTTTTTACGGTGAATGAGTGAACCCTCAGGACCAAGTGGATTTAGTTTAATTTCTGAGAATAAAAAGCCTGTGTCACCAATGAATTTACAACGACTCAGCATCAGTATTGGTCGTAAGAGTTTGATTCCATTTTTTGATATATTAGTAAGTTTTAAAATAAATTATGCCTAAAGAATAAGGTATAACTGATTTAATTCAACTTTTAGTTGCGTGAGTATATTTTAGAATGATAAGAAAAGCTTTATTATATTTGAAATAAATAGAACAGTTATTCAAACTTGTTTTATTATAATTATTATTATTATTATTCCGTGGAACAGCTTTGGTTGAATTACACTGTTGAATGCATTGTGTTTGCTAGTCAAAACATGTGAATAAACTAATAATGTTTTCTCATTTAGAGGCTTTTATTTCCTCCTTGTAACCAGAAATGTTTAGACCTTTTGTGATCAATTGATAAAAGACAGGCTACATTATTTGAAGTATAAATTTGACTAGTGTATATGAATGCAATTGGTGGATTTCATTGTTTACTGGAGAAAGTTAATGTTAGTTCGTGGAAAGTTGCATTGATTTCATTACGCCTAGCTTGAAAAGGCTATTTTTACTCTAATGGAGTATACTGTTCCCTTGAGAATATGCTTTCCTCTGCCTGACTATGATGTGGCACTGATGAGTGGCAGGCGAAGGTGAGGTACACAGTTTTATTGACGCATCGATATCTAGGGCTAACAGCTCTGTCAAGTTAATTGTAAACAGAATTTTCACAATTTCAAAGCTTAAAAATATGGTAAATTAACTCGTCGTCTTCTGAATAAGCAACTCTGTGTTGTAAGGTAGTTAGATACAAAAATAATGTATAAAAACAGAGGTTGCTTATTGCAGACATTTATCAAAAGCTGCCTTAACTAACTTCGTACTGAAGATCAGATGGCCAGCCGGCCAGAAAGAATTAGGAGGAAGAAACTCTGGCAACAAACCAACTAAGAGCCGATTGCTGAAAAATATGTAAGAGAAGGTGGAGATGGATAGGGCATGCGTTGAGGGGCTGTCCAGTTACTTCACGCAACAGGACATTGCTTTAGTGGACTTCGAATAGGAAATGATGAGTGGGTCGTTCTAGGATGACATGGAGGAGATCGTCTGAGAAGGATATGAGAGACTATGGGCAATGGTGAATCCAGTTGAAGAAGAGATTGGAAAATAGGTGAGAGTTAAGATGTGTTGTTGAAGGCCTGTGTTCTACTAAGAACTCAAAGGAATAATATTAGTAATAAAATGAACTCGTGCTTAATCAGAATCAAAATTAATCCTACAGATGTTCAAATATGCAATCCGGATTTTTGTTCTGTGATTTGAAGACTGTCAGAGCAGATTTTGTCATCAACAGAGATAAGTTCGAAAAATTGAAAATGAGAAAAAATAGATTATGTATCTGTAACGTCTGTGTTTGAAAAGCTTGAAGAAGCATACTCATGACGTCACTGATCAAACACTGCACACCTCCAGGCTACACACCTGAAGCGTTTATTATTTAAAAATTAGTAAAATCTAATGAATATTGATTTCTAACTTCCATCAGTTCATAATATAGTTTCATGTTGAGATATATTCACTGGTATTGTTATTGTTCCATTGGGTTACTGGTGGAACATAGGGCTTCAACTGCCCATCTCCACTTGCCACTTCTGTCTTCCTTCTGCTGTGCTTTTCGCCTACATCCATGTTAGTCGATAATGTTTCAACTCCTCTTCACACGATCTCCTCCATGTCACCCTTGCACTGATGTCCCACTCGCCGCGTGCTTCCCTTTCGGCCTTATTCCACTCGAGCAATGGCCTGACGCGCGCGCGATGTCACCCAGTGGCGGCCTCCTCAGCCACGAGTGTCCAATCCATCTAAATCCACTTTCTCCTGCATATTTGTTGGTTGGCGATTGGTTCTTGTTTTGTTTGTTCCCAGCCATAGTTTCTTGTTGGTGATTTTTTCCGGACCGGCCCGGCCATCTGATCTTCAGTATAGAGCCAGCGAAGACAGTTGTTGATAAAGGTCTGGTCTGCAATAGCCTGTTGGAAATATTCCTTGTGACCTGCCCGCCAAGTTTCTCATCTGATCCGTATAGAAGAACTGATTGACTTGACGTTTGTATTGAAAAACCGACTGGGTTTTGTTGTTGATGGTGGCTGAGTGAGGAAGATTTCCAGATTGGTTTCAGGTTGATGAATGTGTGTGTTCTCGCCTTCCCGATTCTCGCTCGATTTGACATCCTCGTCCGTTCTGACTTCCTGTAGTTGAGACAATGCTCCCTCTCGTTGATGATGATTGAAACTGGATGTTCCTGCTGTTGTTGTTGGTTGGTTATTTTCATAACCTCCGTCTTGTCTATGTTCACTTGGAGTCCTGTCTCCGCCGGCTGCTTCTTCGACCAGTTTGTCGGTTTTCACCTGTAGGTCTTCGATTTTGTGTGACACCAAACATAAACCATCCGCGCGCGAAATCCAGGTCTTCTAGGTTCTTCACGTCGGTCCAGGATATTCCTTTTCCGTTTCTCGTTTCCCACTGTCTGACGACACATAATCCAGTCCACCACAATTAGGAATCTCATTGGTGATAGTAAGCACCCTTGTCTGGTTCCTGTGTTTACTCCAAACGCCTCGCTGAGTTTTCCGTTGTGGATCACTTGACAGGTGCCGTTGTCGTACATCTGTTGAATAAGGTTAATGAATATTTGGGGTACGCCGTAGTACTCGAGTAGTTTCCAAATCACTTCGCGGTCAACGCTGTCGAAGGCCTTCTCAAAGTCTATAAAGTTGAGGTATGGGTTTGGTTACCGTTCCACGCTTTGTTCTGTGATGATGATGAGTAGAGTTGCAATTTGGTCAGAACATGATTTGCCTTTCCTGAATTCAGCTTGTTCTAGTCGGAGTTCTGTCTCCAGTGCGTCCCTAATTCTCTCCAGGATGATGTGACTCAGGATTTTACTTGGCGTCGACAGGAGCATGATTCCTCGCCAGTTCTTGCACATTCATAATAACACTAGATTTGGTGGTTTTGTTGAGCACTTTTTTCTATTTTGAAACCGGTAGGTGTTATGCAAGAGATGAGTTTTTAGATATTGAGTTTTTCAGGAGTCTGATAATTCAAATGAAGGTTTTCTTTACGGATTGACTTTTATTGAAAACAAACAAGCTCTAAACAGGAAATACACTACAGTTTGGGATTTTTCAGCTTTGCACATCTATGATTACACTAGGGAAAAAATCATATTTTAGTTTTCACTCGTCTAGAAGTACAAACCTTTAAATAATGAGTACGGTTTATTCATTGTTTGGGTCTTTAAAAACCGTCTAATGTAAGCTTGATTTGAGCGTCTACCGCGCTTTTAAAATGTTTGCCTATCTGACAACAAGCCTATAAATATCTAGACCAGAGAAGTTATTAATGTTGTAGGAAAGTATGGGCGACAATTATGGGCGAGTAACTATAAAAATTATCACTGTTTTATTCCTCTGAACGTTTGGCTGAGTAGACCGCTGCTTATTCAAGAAATGAATTAATTAATAATGGCCTTCGCTAATAAGTTTTTCGTGATAATGTGGATTTTATTAGGGAATCTTATAGAAAGCGTTTCAGAAAATATTAAAATATTTTATATTGTTCCTTGTCTAAAGCCTTATCGTGACGACGTTTCTTCTATTGAAGATTGAAAGATCTGTAAAATACTATCAGTCATTATAACTAACATATTTGTATTTACATTTAACCAGTAGGGTCACTAAAATGTATTCAGATGCTTTATTCCGTAAGGTAACAATGTAGATGTGTGTTATCAGCATCAGGCGACGAAGAAGATGAAAACTTGTTGCTCAACAGATATTCAGAAAAAAGTTGATATAGATCGGGACAGACGCCAAGAAAACCGTTGAGTGACATCGCACGCCAGACCGTCCAGTGGAACATTGGAAGGAAATGGCGAGCTGAGTGTCCAAGGATGACATCAAGAATATGAGAGCTTATGAGCAAGCGTAAAGTCAGCTAATAAGGACTGCGGCGAATAGGGTGGAATGGGGGATGTGTTGCTAAAGCCCTAGATTACACTCTGAACCTAATGGAGTAATAATGTCTTGGTACTAAAAGATTGTGACGTTTTATACTATTTCGAAATTTTTATTATAGTGGCTATGTAACACTATTCTCAGTAAATAATTTGTTTACAAAGTTCGTTTTGTAAGTAATACGAAGCCATCTAGACCATCTGCTCGTGATTCGTCTATGAACACCGCAGTCAGTTATTGACTGTGAGTGTTAAAGTGCCTAACATGACGTATTTCAAATTCAAGATGTGTTTTATAAGGTCTCAAACTGAAGCTTGAGCTTATAATTTAGCTGATGGAATTAATAAATACTTGCAGGTTTGTTTCAAAAGGAAAACTTGAGTATTTTGCACTTCGTAAGCAAACATCAACATTACTAAAAGGAAGAAATCAATTAGTCTGCGTCTGTTTGAAAACTACTGACCACCTGTTGCAAGGCTAGTTTCCGTATTTAATCTTTCTAAAACTACAGTACACAGAATGCATCACGAGAAAGTATCCTCAAGTACAGGCTTATTTTCTGCTTACAGTCACCAAATAGATTTGTATTCACTGATACAAAATAGAGTTCACGATATAATTAATCTACTGTTTATTGATTTATTTTTAATCAGAATAAACGTTCTCAATCCACCTCTGTTACAATATGCAAAACATCAGATGATAGTCATTTTATGCAGACTGCAGGATTCCAGTTTCTTTCACATCAAAGTTACTATCCTTTAATGATAGAGACAATAACCAAGCAGTTAGACATTATTGATAAATGTATGTTTAACTTATTTATTATGTTTATTTGTTATTGTAAATCCTTCAAAATACAGTAGAAGTTTGAATGTATTAATATATATATATATATATGACCTTAATCAGCACTTCACTATATAAGTAGTAGTAATAAGCATGTATACCTAAAATACATGAACTAAATAAAGATAGGGAATATATTAATCATCGTATGCAAATTTTAACCGTATATTCGACTATTTTAATAAATCTGAATCGTTCCTTTAGGTTTTAAATTTATAATCATAGGTGGTTACTTACACGGAGGAATTATTGGTCTGTATGCAAGAAAGTGCATTAATGAATGAAAAAGACTTTTGGAAATAACATCCATGATATATCCAATATGAGAAGCGCTTCCATAAAATTGCAGACTCATCAACAGCTGCCTTCCCCGGTTAGGTACTGAAAACCAGGTGGTCAGAAAGGTCAAACAGCAAGGAACTCTAGCAATAAACGAAAAAAGAAGGTACCATCCAACAAATATGCAGAAGGAAATGGAGACAGATTGGATACACATCGTGGAGACCTTTGAGTGACAATGCTGCCCGACCCACGAGTGGAAACCGAATGGATAATGACTAGTTGGGCACCTGTACGAGCGTGTTATGGATGAGATAGTGTAAGGAGAAGATAACCTAAGGGTAATCATGGAGCTATCTAGAGATAACTATAGAGGACATAGTGGAATGAAAAGATGTTATTGATGCCATGATTTTGCGAGTTGATCATGGATTAACATCACTTAGAGAACCATTGAAAACCAGTACCGGAGTACTGAACAGTTGTTTCATCCTAGTTTGGAAATCATCGTCAGTACGTACCCACCACCCAGGTTCAAACCTTGGACCTTCCGGTTACAAAGCAGGCTCGTATACCATTCAGCCACTGGGACTCGATTCAGTGGCCCATGAATTCTAACTTCTACCAATTCGTGATTTAGCGCGATCACCAACCATTGCCATTTTTTCGATTCGGAGTCTACAAAGAATAATAAAACTAATAACAAAAGAGTATTTTGCAGCCTCATAAGTTACCTTATACTTACATTACAATTATTCACAGATAAACTAATTTCAGATATATAAGCACTGGAGGCAAAGAATTCCAATTTTGTAAAATCGGTCTGTACGTCTATTTCGTGAATTATAGACAGTCTACTTACACTAACACAAATTGTTAAACTCTGCTACCAGATCTGATTATAAAGATGAACATAAGATCTACTTAACGGAAATACTTTGGGATTATATAACTCGGGTTTTAGAAATGAAATTTGAACCACTCCCCTTAATAGTATCCTGAACCCAGTGCTTCCAGATAAATTTTCCATTAATTTCAAAGGCAATTTGTTGTTTAGGGCTATTTCCGGAAGCATATCTAACATCACCCATTGATATTGTTGTTCCTAATCTTTATTTTATATTTGGACATGGATATTAGGGGTCATTAGACTGAATAGACATTTTAGAAAATATAATAATAACAATGAGGCAATCGTTAGCGTTTAGCAGCTGTAGATTTATTTATTCATTTCATACAAGCAGTTCTTAAATGTTAGTAGTCACCTTGAGAAAAACTAAGCAGTTTTGTTGGAGTAAAGAATTTATTTTTTCCCTTATTTTCCACCTCCTAAAGAATATCTTCATTCAAGTAATAATTTGTTTTTGATCATTTCTTTAAATTTAAAGTTGTTACTATGATGGAACATATGGCTGACGTAAGACAGTCTTATTCTACGGCGTTGAAGGAAATCTGCACTAATTTCTCTGAAGGTAGTGATAATGTGAATGATACACAGTGAGTTGAATATATAATTTTTATATTCCTTTTTTCCACTGCAATTCTTTATATTGAAGCAATGTATCACTCGAATATGTCCGTATGCATTCTGTCAATACGTTCGGTGATATTGTAACGACAGAAGAAAAAAGCCAGGAAACAGACTGTTTATCGAGAAAATCAAGAGATATTTGTAGATTTTTATGTACATTATTGTCAGCGGAGAAGTAACGTCTTCTGATTGGTTGTTTTCCTGCTGAAGGTTACTCCGTACTGCTTGTGACCGGTTTTCAGAAAGTTAATTCATATATCTGCGAATCATATATGCATACGTTAGGTCCACTGTGATTGGTTGGCGAGTTCTTCAAGGCTAAGCTTTGTTACTGTTTTTTTCTCATGACCCCTATTCGGGACGTAAACATTGACGTAATTTTGGCTAGCGGATAGCTTTCACCACATTCATCTTCCGTCAAATAGCTTCGTGTGCAGGCTTTCTGACCTTCTGGGTGATAAATCCTATCGTTGATGATTGTTACGGACCGGCTTATACCACTGTATTCATCGTTGGATCTGACAGGCATTAACTTCTTTCTGTTTGTCACCTCTTCTGATGGTATATACGTGACTCTGTCTTTTGGTGACTGTGTATGATCTTTTTTTTTTTACTTTGGAAGGAGTTTTCGTGGATCTGGCCAGCCTCAAACTGCATTCCTTCTGTCTCTACAATTCACTTGATCCCCGACTACAAAGGTAATGCACTGAGTCTTTTCTCTCTGCTAAGACTTTACGGCATCCCTCCGCTGCTTTTGCGTTACATTCTTGACTGCTTATTTTTGTTCTGCTCTCAATTTCCTCATACTCCACTTTTGGTGAAGTGGCCAGATCTCGTTGTGTATCTTTAATCGTGGTTTTCTGCCATACATCAGTTGAAAAACTGACTTCCTCATTGTTCCCTGGACAGTAGCACGATGTACTAGTAGAATCAGTGGGAGCTTCGTCTCCCAGGTGTCGCCTCTTCGAGGCCAGCCATTCCTTCAGTGTACGGTTGTTTCTCTCTGTCAGGCCGTTCGTTTGTGGATGATATGGCGTTGTTCTGATCCTGTTGATGCTCAGCTGTTGCAAACGGCACGTGAATTCTTCAGTTTCAAAACAATGACCTTGGTCTGTCTGTATCGTCTTTGGTACGCCGTGGTCTGCAACGATGTGACAAACTAGTGCATCTGTCACAGTCCTTGCCTGTTGGCCTGGGATCGTGTCGCCTGTTCCGTCATCACCAGGAGGTACTAATTACCACTTGATGTCTGAGGACCCATTAAATCTACAAGCCACAAGTCATTTATCACCGTAACTGGAAGTGACTGTAGTGGTGGTCGTATGCACTGATCGCCTTTCATTAGCTGGCACTGTGGACATCCAAGTACATATCTTACCACGTCTTCTCTCATACCCGGCCAGTACATACTTTGTCTTAAGAGGTCGGTTGTTCTGGCCACCCTTGTATGTGCTAGCTGGTGACATTCTTGTATCATCTCGTGGTGCAATAATTGAGGTATTAAGGCCAGCCAGCTTTCATCGTTTTCTCACAAGTCAGAGTCCAATAGGCTTTCACTCTTAGTTAATCTCTCTGTCGGAGTACTGTAGTTAGCTCTTTACTCGTTGTAGGTTGATCTACTTCTATTCAGTTGGTGAAAATCTCTATTACTGTATTCAGCGTGCCGTCCATCTTCTGCCTGCTTGCAAGTCTTAGTGATTCGTGTTCTACTGCATGCAGTCCCTAAGCGACCTAGGGCAACTCAGCCTCGTCTTCTGGTCTCGATAAAAAGTCTGCCAAGACGTTTCCATTTCCAGGAACGTGTGAGGTAGTAAAATCATACTCCTGCGGAGGCGAAACATCCACCAAGACATTCCTCGTAGGTCTCTTGCTGTCTTCAAAAACTATAGCGGCTTATGATCAGTTTTGACGTGAAATTGTCGGTCGAGTAAATAAGGTCTCCATTTGTCGATCGCCCATACCATTGCTAAACATCATTTCTCTTTCGCTGAATACTTCCGCTCTATATGTGTCAAAACCCGTCTGGCATACTAGATGATTTCCACACCCTTTCTTGGGACTGCACCTTCGCAGTAGTCACTGGCACACTGTGAACTGTCTTCCGGGTACGGACAGCTGTTTGGTTCTGTCCAGTGTCTTCTGTGACTTCCGAATAAACAAACTTCGGCTCACCTGGTAGCCTGTACAGAGGGGCTGCTATCTCATTAACGTTCTTTACGAACCGACTATAAAACGCTGCTCCACCCAGGAATCGTCACAATTTTCTCTTTGAATTCGGGGTCGAAATCGTCTTTATCGTCAAGATTTTCTCCGGTAGTGGTTTAATCTCATTATTTCCCACTTTATGTCCCAAAAGAGTAACATTTCTTTTGACTATCTGAGACTTAGTTTTGTTGACATGCAGTCCAAAATCTTCAAAGCGTCGCAGCACGGCTTCCATATGGTTCACATGGTTTCCCCGTATCTACTAAACAAACTACTTCTCAATCATTCACTCTCCGCTTCCAATACATAGCCCCTTTCTCAATAGCACCCACTACGTCTAGTTTTATATGAGCGAAAAACACATATTATAATGTCTGCAGGCTTTTCTTTTCCGCCTTTCTGGGGAGTATTTCCTCCAGTGTCACGGCTCACCACATTGAAAACATCGGTCTCTCCTGTCACTCATCTTTAACGTCACCACTTTGCGCTGCAGTGCTTCAATTTTGTGCTCATATTCGTTTGGTTTTGTTGACTCTAAATTGGCTACAGTTGTGCTCAGTAGCCGTGTCGTCACCTTCTCCAGCTCACTAATATCCATCGGTTGCACAGCGTTAACCAGTTGTAATCACCGAGAAACGTGGTCTAGAACACTCTCGATGAACTGAGAAGTCAGTAAGTGAGTCTCGGATTCCTCATCCAAGGTGGGAAGCTCAGGTCGAACTAGATTTGTCAATTTCACCGCCAGCACTAAAGGGTCTCCATCAGGTCTAAGCTTCGTGGAACGGAACTGCTGCAATGCTAGCTTTTTGTCTGTTGTGCTGTCAAACTCCGACACGTCATTCAACCAATGTGTTCCAAGACGCTGTGTCACCTGACCTCTCTGCGCCGTCATATATCGCCTTCTCTCTGCTTCTCAACAGCGTCCTTAGCACAACCGCCTTCCCTGCCTGCTCCTTGAAAACCAAGAACTCGGTGATGGTCTCGAAGTCCTGTAAAAAGCTCAGTATGTCTCTGTCTTCAAAAGCAGCTGGCTATGGGATCTTCATTGTTCGGAAGCAGCGACACCTACTGTAACGACAGAAAAAGAGCCAGGAAACAGATTGTTTATCGAGAAAATCAAGAGATATTTGTAGATTTTTATGTACATTATTGTCAGCGGAGAAGTAACGTCTTCTGATTGGTTGTTTTCTTGCTGAAGGTTACTCCGTACTGCTTGTGACCGTTTTTCAGAAAGTTAAGTCATATATCTGCGAATCATATTTGCATACGTTAGGTCCACTGTGATTGGCTATTGAGTTCTTCAGGGCTAAATTTTGTTATCTTTCTCCTCATGAACCTGATTTGGGACGCGACGTTTACTATTTCGGCCTGTTTGCAGACATCTCTCACCACAATCTGACTTAGGAATTTAATGAGGAATTTAAATCAGGCAGAAAGACCATGTCCTGGGGAGTTCTGAGTAAATGATGTTTATGATTGCACTGAAATGAGCATATGACTGAAGCCATAGCCTTTTGTCTTCAAAATATGATCAAAAACAGCTTGCAGATGTTTGAAGGACATTGTAATAATCTGCATTTTGTACTAGTTTTAAGTCTCATTAGCTGCTGCAAATATTGTAGCTCTAAGATAAATCCTCATTGTACTGTACAGCAATTGTAATAAACGAAATAAGTAGTTTGGCTTTCAACAACAATAATGTTCTTCCAAATTTCGCAACGGATAACTCACCCAACTCTGATACAAACAGAATATTTAAATGCTGAGGATGAATTTTCTAGTTATTCGAATTTCTTAACTATCAAAGCGTATTTGAACACCACGGTGACAGAGCTTTTCAAAATCATCACAAATGTTTGAATTTATCAGTAAGGACTAGATCCTTCATCCTACTTAAGCACTATGTACCTTAATAGTCTGATAATTGTTATATTTCGTTGAACAAATTGAGTAGGAAATGAACACAGTAAAAAGACACATCATTTAACAAGTTACAATTGTTTGGGGATAAAACCATAAGCCTAGAGAGCAGTACGGTTGTAGTAGTGTCTCAACGCCATATGACCACAACCCACTTCTTTTTACTCAGTGATCACGTCTGAGTGAATTACATAAATTTCTGGTCTCCAGAACTAATCATAGCCAAAAAAACTGGTTAGACGCTTGCTTGCTATACACTTAGGAGGGCCCACATATTGTGTTTATTTTTTGAAGTGAAAAAGACTTTGATGACTTAGTTTATTGATATTTACGTCATTATAGGTTAAAACTATGAAGAACATAATTCAGTACACAAGCAAATTACTATTACCTTTCAAATGTATTTCATAACATTTATAGTGTAGTTACAACTGTTAACGAAGTATTATTGAAATAATAAAGGAGATTTGTAGCTTAGGTGGGTGATTTGCAATCAAAGCAACCTGCTCAGAGTACACAACTAATTGCAAAAGTATTAATAAATTTATTCATAATTTGAGTTCGAAATCACAAAAGTCTTAATATCCCTTCCATGTCTGCCTAAGAATTTCATGATATCCGCTGCGTTAAAGGATACATATACTAAAGATAACGTGGATAAAAGCAAATTGACATCTTATGAGTTATAAAATACTTCATTTCGATCTATATGGATGCTTAAACATTTTAGCATTCTAATTCACATTTCCTACAATCCCGTTTAGATTTCGTTTAATTTATTATGACTACATTTAACTTGACTGATGTGAATCTCCTGTCTAAACATATTTACCAACAGTATAATTCAATTTTAAATTTTAGTGCATATTCGAACAAAAATAATCTAATTATTTCAAATTCTAAACTACTCATTTTTAGAAGTGATGATACTAATGGAATATTTCATGACATTTGGGAGAAATTTATTGAAAAAGTTGGAAATGAAGCTGAGGTTAGTTTTACATTATAAAAAAGGTACTGTTTATAATCAGAATTGAATATATAAGTTGTTATATTTTCAGTATTGAGCTCAAAAGTTCAAAGCATTTGCCTTACAAGGTTCACTTTGCTCATAAAAACTGGATGTTTTAAATAGTGAACAACAAGTCCACTGGGGATCGAATCCAGTACCCTGGGGTTATCAAGCCTTTCGAGCACTTGAGCTAGAACGCAGTTGCACATGAATTCCAACTTCTGTCAGTTGACACTTCTTGGCATGATTAACAGTCATAGTTATTGACGAGTGTTTGCAGAAGCTGCTTGGAGACCCAATAAGACGTTGTGACAAGTGGGGTTTACTAGGTTGGGTGCGAGTAGAAACACTTACCGGTGACATGAAGAGAAGTTAGAACTAATAGTCGAATGGATACCAGCACAAAAGGCTGAATGGCCAACAAGCTTTGTATTATAACCTGAGGGTCCCCAATTTAATCCGTGGTTGGGTAGGTGGTACGTACTGTTGAAGAGTCCCAGACTAGGACGAAGCAGCTGTCCAGTATAACCTGGTTTTCAGTGATCCTCTGGCTGACACTAATCCATAACCAAACTTGAAAATTGCAATAGTTTTTGTTTTTATTTAGTCATTTAAACTGGTTCACATACTATCTATTTAATATAAAAGTTTTATGAAAACAAATAATATTATATTATAATATTATATTATTTTTCCTTTATATTTAAAGAAAGTTTTAGTCAAATTCAGCCACAGTAATATTATATTCACTCATTTCTAGTTGAAAGTATTTTTTATATTTCTCTGTTATGGGTAAAATATTCTAGGCATTTCGATGAGTTTGTAGTGTTCATCGTAGTGATCATAGTGAATCCAAGACAACGAAAACTATCTACTGCGAATATAACGAAAAAAATTAGTTGATAAAGTGAAAATTTACAGACTTCAATTATTAAAAGACTCACTTAGTAATGGTTGTGTTGTGGGCGGACATTTAAGTTGATAGGGACAAATTAATGAGTTGAGCAGGGCTGTGTGATTTAATCACATGGCACTTATTCTTCTACTACAGAAATTCTAAGGATAGAGATGTTGACATGCACAGTTAATTCGACGAATCATCCTTAGATGTGTTATTCATATAACAGACATAGTGAGAATGCGGAAGTTAATTAGTGTAAAAATGCTTGTAGACTGAACGGATAACAACATAGGATAGAGACTGAAGCGTTATTGTTCTTCATAGGTGCTTCGTTTGGTCATCAAACAGCGTTTGTAATTTTTTTTTAAAACATTTTTGATAACAGCTTAATTCCACACTGTATTTTTGGTACAAGTATGGAATTTTCAGCATGTGATATCGGTAGCCCAAATTTTGCAGGCCGACCAATTGATATCAGGTGTGCGTCGGTAGAGGATCGAACCTCGGACCATGTGCATGGTGGGCGACAGTCCTAACCACTGTGTCATCAACCAATTTTGTTGAGTTATTACACAATCTCCTGTAAAAGTGCTCCCTATGGCGTTTAGTTCTTACAGAAGAGAAACTCTGTAGTTTGACTTTTTATATGTATAATATTTTTTCTAATAATTATTCATAGACTAATCGTATTCATTTTGTAGCTTCAAGAAAATGTTGTCCAACAGACTAAAACGAAAGTGATTGTACCTTTACAGTGGATTGTCAAGCACAGGAGACAACAGATTTCGCGTTTAAAATCATTCCGTACGTCAACCGATTCAACACTTAGAGAGTGCAGTGAAAGAGTTATTGAGGTAAATATATATAATGTCTGTCACATCAAGATTGCTTACCCAAATTGAAATACAGTTGCTCTATAGTTTAGTGACCGACGCATTTTAACTTCAGTCCCATGTTATTGTTTGTTGAGTTATTTAAAATGATGTAAATATTCGTTTAATGAAAAATAGTATTGTTTAACTTGCAAGTGGATACTCCCCAGGCGACATCCTCAGTTGTGAAGCAGTGAGTTCACAACTATCTAAATACTTGTATTCGAATCAAAGAATCATATTCCCTGGATTTTTCTTATTCATCAGGTAAAATGCTTGTAATTTCTGCAATAGTTGGGGAGTTGTGTATCATAAATAAAAGTAGTCTTGAATTTTCAAAGTTTCTGTTGGCTACCTCATATTGACACACAACGTATGTAGACTTATTATTAGTCTGAAGTGTAATTGTCTTGAGTGAATTTTAGCAAGCTAGCCATGTATAGTTGATCATACAACTGTTTACTTCCAGATATGACACAATCACTTGCAATAAATCATGCACAGTTATTTTGCGAATTCGTATCTGTCGAATTCATTGATGAAAATATCTCTAGTGTTTCTAACACTGCGCTGGATTTATAAACTTCAGGGAAGCATTCAATCCAAATTTTAAATGTTCATGAAAAATTGTGAAAATTTTTCAGAATTTAGACGTGAAGCTGTAATAATCAGCTCCCAGAGTTTTCTGCTCTTTAGATAGCCAGTCGAAAACTTGCTGTTTTAAACATTAAAATGGTTGACCATTTTACTTATTAACACCACACAAAACATTCTACAAAAAAGTAACTTGAAGACGTTAAGGTTTCAATAAATAAGTTTTTTTGAGATAAACAACTATTCCACAGATTACATATCATTTCAGTAATGGTGGAACAATACAAAGGCTTTTACGTAGAAAACGAACTTCAACGACCCAGTGTACTGACCCTATTGGTTTTGTAACTTTGCAGTATAAACAGCTTGACTCATGGAGTCAGAGTAATTACAAATGATACTGTGGTGATAGCTGTCTGCAAGACAAAATTGTAGACAACAACTGACGTCAATGTTTACGTCCGGAATCGGGGTCATGAGAAAAAGCAATAACAAAGTTTAATCTTGAGGAACTCATGAACCAATCACGGAAGACTTAACGCATGCAAATAGGATTCGCAGATATATGACTTAACTTTCTAAGAAACGGCCACAAAGAGATGATGGAATAGCCTTGAACAAGGAAACGACCAATCGGAAGACTTTTCTTCCTGCTAACGATAACGCTATTAACATTGCACATAAGAATCTACAAATACCTCTTGATTTTATCATCTGTTGCCTGGCCCTCGTTTTCCGTCATTACAATACTATTCGCTTGGAAATGAACAGTTTTCGTAATCAGACCTTGAAACATCGAATTCCGTGATTTTGGAAAGGGTAAACGACATCTGTTCGTAGCTCCGTGCCGCTACACACTGTTGAAAACTTATTGCAATTGGTAAATAAAAGCTTTGTCTCTTTTAGGCCACAGAAAGAAATGACCTGTGATAACCTCTTATGATATATCATAATGATTCGATGATGACATGGTGTTTCATTGAAAATATTCTTGCCACATTTTGACATCACTGTATATTTATTCGACTATATAAACCTGATATGAACTTTCCTAACAGATGAAAGAACCGATGAATTTACTGTGAGCACTTAGTACCAAAGTCTTTTTTCGCCAACATTTCACCTTATAGACTGTCATATGTATACACTTGAGAGCCATCCAATTCTAAAATGTTTACTTAGAATTTGCATACTCGGCTATTTTTCACGAACTTTCTGTTCCTCACAATAGCATATATCATAAAGTTTTTTCAAATGATTCATTTAAATAATTCACTAAGGTCTCTGTGAATTCAGAGTTTGGGCTCCTTTAAGTCAGTCAAATGGACTTCATAAATACCTATTACTAAAAAGCATTAAAGTGTCATGTTACTGCTGTTTCGGACTTGACAAATTTTAATTTATTTTTCACTAACAGATGCATGGCGCATATCTTTTGAGACTCCAATTTTTTAAAAGCCAGATTGCTAACTTGGATGATTTTGTAAGACACTCCCAAAAGCGAGTACTTTACTTCTGCCTGTATAAACGTATAATGAATAAACTAGACATTAGTAGGAAGCTGAAGTGTTTCTGAGATTTCTAGCCGATTAACCCACAACTTAAAGGTCAGTCTTCAATGTCTTGAAGCCATTATGAACGAAATAAATGCAACGTTGCTTACATAAGTAGGAACTAGAGTCTGAAAATATGACCTGTATCGTGAAATAGCATAATCAGTAAAAACAAGCCCTAAATGGGTTTTCTGGAGTTTTCGTCGTTACATATTGATTTTTTGTGCTAGATGAGGAGGCCTAATTCAGCCTACAGGTATTTTGTGATCCCTTCGGATTAGTGTTCAAATGAAGACACCATGTGAAGTGAGAGTTTAAAAGAATTTGACTCTTTCCAGTGAACTGAGGCCAAGATTTACATCACTTATCAAAAAATGATGTTTGTAATATATCTGAAAACTGGTGTCTCCATCGGTTAAACTATTAACGTATAAAATGACTAAGCAGAATTTTCTTTCATTTTAATTGCTGTTGATTTTTAATATGAAGTTTTTTCTCTCTTATTCAACAATCTCTCCTTCGAGTTACATGGTAATTATTCAGAATTGTACAAAGTTCACCGTGAAATTTTACAAACCAAAGCCATCAAAGATCTATTAAATGCACATAACTCCTATGTACTTCAGTTGCATATGACGAACACAATGAAAGAATATTATCATAATTTAATTTTACCACAGATTATGCAAGTGAGTACACATTTTTAACGTTCTTGTTAAGCTGAAGGAGTTAGGGTATCATTTTGCACACATGCACTCATCAGTTTCCATTCTATATATGCCATCACCAGGCATCTTCTCGACACGGGTCATGAGGTGGACGTTGAAAAGTCGTTCAAAATTATCAATAAGCAAAATAGCTCCATTCTCCTTAAGTTTGCTGAAGCCATTTCCATCAAGCGCATGAAACCTGATTTATGCGTCCAGAAAGAAGCGGTTATCAGCCTTTCTTTGCCCTGGTAACTGGATAATTTCACCTCTCTTTCCTCCGAATGTGAAATGCTAAAAGTTTCCATTGTGTTTGATTATTATTGTTCGGAATAGTGATTAATATTGCATATTTATATATGTATATATTTTTAGTGTATGCGTATATTGATCGATTGATTTTTGTTTAAACTGAACTCTGTGCAAGTATGTTAAAATTGTTGTTGTAGATATATTTAATAATGTCTTTGCCATGTAAGCAGCTGACGAGAAGGCAACGAAATAAAAGATGGTACCATTTTATTCTGCTAAAACTGTAGTTCTTGCATTGTTCAAATTCATTAAGGGGAATAAATGTATGAAAGTAAAATATGTTGGATTCCTAAAACATTTGGTCCACAGCTATTAAGAACTGTGAATTTATTTCAAAGTATTCATATAGCAGACCTAATTAGTGTCATAGTAAATAATCTTAAGATGGCCTCTCTCAAGGCTGGCCTTCGTTATAGCTGTTTTAAAACCTTTAAATTGATATCAAAAAATCAAAAGATAAAACACTTATTTATCATTAGATCTTAATTCCCTGGAGGGTGTAGCAATCGAAACCCACGTGTTATGGTCTGAATTTAAAAAACCAGTCTTCGCATTCTACTATTTAATCTGCCAAAATTTGCTTGAGTTACGGATAGTCATAAATGGCCCCAGTGGCATTGTAAGGACAATTATTTGCGATAAATCTGAAGTATTATTTAGCTATATAAACTAGTCAAAATTACCCCAACAGTGCCGTTAAGCCACTACACAGATTCAGTTCTTTCTCAAGAACAAATCAAGCGTTGTACAACAAAATTATTTAACCAATTCAACCATGAGAATTACATGAAAATCAAGAAGAATATTTAGAACAGGGTGGGATCAAAACTTTGTCAGCAAGAATCATACACTAAGCGCTTCCGTCAGACAGAAATAATAAGAACAAAAAATAATAAACAAATAAAACTGCATCGTGAAACAAAACATTATCAGTGTATCGTACGGCCGTAAAAAAAGGAAGCATTAAAATGAGAGAATAAACAGGAACAGAGACTAATAAGAAGGATTATGTGAACATATGATACGCAAAGGTCAGAACAATTATATACGACCTAGGAGAAAAGAGAAAAATAAGTGCGAAGTTAGTTGAAACATCCCTATAATTATAAATGCTGCAGTTTGATCGTTCAGGAAGGATTTTTTCAAATATCTTTTCCCTTACAAAGGGTTTCTAGTTTCCTTAAATACATATAGCTAGCAATGGTTGGCACATACATACTATTATTCAAACTTTTAAGAATGATATATAATCATACATTTCATTACATCACAAGATGAGATAATGTTTATTGGACAAAATTCTTTCTTCCTTTTTCAATGAATTTAGTTCACATATCACAGTAATGTATTCCGAATGAACATTAGTAAGTAACTGTTTATTTTTTTATTCAAAATCAGGAGTTCGAGACAATAATCAAAGAGAACACAGCAGAATTCAGAGAGATTTTCGACTACTTTGGTTCACTTCATGAAAATATGGTAAGTGGTTTTCATTTGCATTCCACTTTATTTCAAAGGGTAGAACAGAATTCATATTGTGATGAGTTGATGTGTACACATAGAAAATTGATATGTTTCTCAGTATTTCCAGTGTCACATAACTGTTAATGGTTTTACTTCGAATATCTGCTCATTTTTTTAGTATGCAGTCTAATATCGTTCCAGTGATTTTGTCTAGAAGGCATGAAAGTATTTTGTAGAGTACTCTTTTACCTGTGCTCTTAATATAAGATTAGTTTATTTCATTACTCCATGTTCCCAGTGGAACATAAGGCTTCAAGGTAGAGGCTTGAAGTTTTTGTAGCACTGTTTATTTTTACAGGATAGAGTTGCTAGCCTCATGCCTAACTTTCCATCTTTACCAGCTTTAATACTGGATTAGAGAGGTAAAGGAGTGCGTCGGTCGGGGATTGAACCCCGGACCATGTGCATGGTCAGCGGGAGCCTTAACCATTGTGGCACCAACACCTTTAGTAGATATGATAATTAATTTTCTGGTTTTCCATCTGTACTGTTCACTTTACATCGAAATACTGTTCAGGTTTCAATGTTTAACTAATTTCAAAGTTAAGCACTGAATTTAAATTGAAATATAATAGGCGAATACCAATAAAATATTTAGCCACATATATATTCAGATGTGAAATTCACAATAAGATTCCAAATGATTCTTACATCAGAAAAAATATTTATTTAAGAAAACTATACATACCATCACACCGAAAATGCAAAAGAGCTGTCATTTTTGAAGATAAGCTCACAAACCTTCCTAATAAGTCAGTGAAATTTTGTATGAATCCGCGATGTTCCCAGAATTTTACAAATATGTCATGGCGAAAATATGACTTTTGTTGGAAAGAGAATTTAGGCAGGCAATAACAGCCGTTAGAAAAAGATAGAGTGAAAGTGTAATAAAATGACTAAATAAAATGGGGATAAAAAAATGAGGTGTTATTATAACGTCATACACTTATATTCAGTTTCAGGTAAGCTTATCTATCTCTATATATAAGTTTATCAAATGCTTATAATTTATATACAATTGGTGATGTGCTAGCAGGAATCCAGGATGCGCATTTCGTCCTATTTGGGACTCGTCACTGGATGTACCTGCATTTCTCAGTGAGTGATGATGTTCCCACCGAGACTCGAACCCAGTGCCCATAGTTTCAAACGCCAAAGCGTTATCCACTAGACCATTTGGGCCCGAGAGCCACCTCTTGTGCACGGGTCATATTAATTATTGAATTGAATTTTTGATCTTCCCGTCGATTGAGACCAAGTCTCGGTCAATAAAATTAATTCAATAATTAATATGACCCGTGCACAAGAGGTGGCTCTCGGGCCCAAATGGTCTAGTGGATAACGCTTTGGGTTTGAAACTATGGGCACTGGTTCGAGTCTCGGTGGGAACATCATCACTCACTGAGAAATGCAGGTACATCCAGATGACGAGTCCCAATAGGACGAAATGCGCATCCGTTCCGTTTCTTCCATCCAGAGCAGTACAACTGGAATATTATCCGCCACTTACAAAATAAACAGTTTTAAAGAAACTTTTGATCAGTCTTTTCTATAGAAGCCTAAAATAGCTACAGCACGATAATACATCCTCATTATATGATAAATAGTAACCAGGAAGCGAGTGAAATGATCAAAGTGACACATGCTTCACATTAATTTGATTATTTATTAGAGCTGACCAGTAGTGCTTGTCAAGAGGATAACCACTGTTGTGTATGATAATGAATATTTTGCTTGCTGAACTAATTGTGAGCAAATAACAGCGGCACATATAGCCTCTTCTGTTCGCTGTAATACGGGACTATCCAAGCAATATATTCATCAGAAGCTATTAGGAAGTGAAAATGAGACAACACATATCTCAGGTCAGGATTTTATTGCCTTGTGTTGCATACTAAAACCTACTCTGAAGATGTTGTCTAGAAGGACGACGAAAGCTTTACAGTTAAATCAACCATCTCAGAGAACACAACCAATTCAATTTTGTTGTACTGATGGGAGATTAAAGTATGTTAAAAATCGAATGTTCAGTCTAGCACAAAAATGAAATGTCCGTTATGTTCTAAGTCACATTACTCACTTACTGATAATAAATTAAATAAAAAGTTATGATTAAAGTTGTGATCGATGCTTTAATGAAAATATTATTCTAGCCAAACAGTTTAAACAATGTTATTCTGTGTCAATAAACATAATATTTATCAGTTCATCTTTAGTCTTTCAAGCCAGTCACACGATTGCCCACAAACTCTAATTCCCTTCTTACAACAACGCAAATATTTCACTCTTGGACGTCCAAATCGTGAATTGTCATTCAGGTTTCATTTCAGAGCCAGTCACACAGTTGCATTAGACAGCCTTGTGGCATATTTCCAATCCATTTCCGTTTTCTTTGGAGTACTTATTCAGCAATAGGTTCTTGTACAGCTCGTGGTCATAGTTTCACTTCGTTAGTCCTTTCTGGCCATGTTATCTTCAGTATGGTGGGCGGCTGATAAACTCTGAAGTTTATTTTAAATTTTTTTTTAAGTGGGAACCAAGCCTTTGAATCATTCAGAAGAACTGAATTGATATTGGGTGTTACAAAATCTGAATGTTATTCTTAATGCTGATCGCAGCAGACTTCCATGCTAAGTAACAAATGTTTCTTTTGCCTTTCAGATCTTGACTTTGACACCCTAATCCGTATCTAGATAGGTGAAATAAGTGACTGTCCTTGAAATTTCTCCCGTTGACAGTGGTCGGTGCTTCCTTTTATCGTTTGTACACTTGTCATAAATTTTACTGAATAAATGACTGATTTTAAACCAAGTGAGAAATATTTAAGTAGAGTTACGTGTGTTCAGATGTTTAAATTTTTCCAGCATTTGCTAATAATTTATCGCATATCAGCATTTTTTTCATGGCATCATCACGCAAAGCATTGAAGAAGTATTAAACGCTATTTTCTTAAATGATGTTACAATAATGTGTACTCTTTCTTATGTAGTGTATTATATTGTTTCACTTTCAGTTTGATCACTTGATGTGTAACATACATGATTTCCAATCTAAAGTGAAAGAAATTTCTCCAGATGCTATTGTAGCAATTACTGTACAGAATATGAGTAAAAGGCAAAGCCCTTTACATTGGCAACTCACTGAATACCTTCCACCTGACTGTGACTGTCCTGAAGTGAGTTATTTATTATTTTTTTCAACATCATATAGCTAATGCGTATTTCAAAATGTTTGTCGGACTTTTTACCATGCTTTTAGAATCAGCTTTGTTGATGCTACTGACAGGATATTTTCATAAAAACTTTGTGAAACAAGACTGAAAATCATTCTCATCCTATTAGTTTTATTTACATTTTAATCATTCTCTTTTTTTGAATCCCCCTCATGTTTGAATTTAGTCTCATCTTTAATTCTTAAAACAAAATACATTTTATAGTTTTGTGGCATAATTTTTGTGATAGATTGAAGTAGAGTAATGTTAGTTATATGAGTCCGCTTTACGCTTTAGAAATGGAGATGGATTGGCTGGCCATACGCTGAGGAAACCACCAAGTGACATCACTAGACAAGCCATCGCTCGAGTGGAACCCGAAAGGGAAGCGGCGAGTGGGGCGTCAGTGCAAGGGTGACTTGGAGGAGGTCATATGAAGAGGAGGTGAAAGCATGTGGGCAGACTTAGAGCAAGGTGAAAACTCTAGCAGAGAACCGAACGCAATGGAGACGTTTGGCTGAAGCCCTATGTTCCTCTAAGAATTAAAGGAAATAATAATAATATATAAGGGACTGTCTGTTAGTGTTATGCGGTGGTAAGACAATCCTTAGCAACTACTCTTCTCAATGAGTCTTAGTTCAAACTTATTCGCCAAACCTGCAAGCATTAAACAATTTTCCCTTGTAACAAAGAGCGATTTAGTTCTGTAAAATACAGTCAAATGAAATTTATATGTATATATTTAAAATAGGTTTATTGATACACAAATATTTACGCACCAGATATATCATGTTTATTGCGGTAAAAATTGTATGTATCTCTTAGTGGATGAGAAGGAAATCGATATTGATTTTACTGGCATTTCACTGATTAGTGCTATTAGTTTTATCAGAGTAATAGTAAACTAGAATTAACAAAGTCATGGCAGCTTAATCACAATTCCCCTATGTAGGGTAATTCTACGTTATCAAATGGAAGATTTGAATAGGAAAATGAACAAGGAGAATTAGCTATGTTAGATTGTAAAATAAAAGGAACGGAAGAAGGTAAACTGCACACTGGAAGATGAAGTAATGGCGAGTTTCTATGTTTATTCAATGTTCACGAATGTTTCTGTTAATAATTCCCTAAGTGTTATTTATAATTTACTTTGTTCTGACGACGAACTAAGTGGTCGTTGTCCTTTAAATACAGACGAAATTATGAAGGCTTTAGAATTGTGTCTTCGATCCACGTTATTTACATTTAGAGGGGTTCTTTACCGTAAAACAGGAAGCATTGCTGTGGGGTCACCTGTATCTCCGCTAGTCGCCAAACTGTTTATGCAATTATGAGATACCCTAGTCCCCCAAAGATGTGGTTAAGATACGTACATGATACCTTCGTCATAGTCAAACGTATTTGGTTAAATGAACTTTTTCACTTAATAAACAGTATGTCAGAAACCATCGAGTTTTCCAAAGAGGTTGAATCTGACGAGAATGATTTGGCGTTCCTGGACTGTCTAGTAAAAATAAAAACCAGATGGTAAAGTTTAAAATAAACGTTTTTAGAAAGCCGACAAATTAGGACAGATACCTAGACTATACTATTCAGCACACCTCTTTACCACCAAAGTAACTAGGGCCAAGAATTTGATTAACAGAGCCAAATGTCTAGTTACTGAGGAGGAAGAGATTAGTAAGGAACTAAAATTGGCTCAGTCCACTGGTGAATCAAATCATTATCCTAAAGCCTTCATAAAAGGATATTTAAAATGTGAAGATAAGGATTGATCGAAACCTGTTGCTAAGAATTGGGTTAGTACAGTGGTGATTCCTTACCACAAAGAGACATCGGATGAGGTACAGCGAGAAAACAGATCAGCGATTGCACTGTATTCTATAGAAATGGGACACAAACTTGACTTCGATAGGACTCAGTTTCTACAGAAGGAGTTTTGTTCGAATAGATAAATACTGACTCCGGAAGCTATACATATATGAGTGAATCCCAACAGTTTGAACAGACGTGAAGGTATAATGTTAGCTGATGCATGGTAAATCCTGATTAATAAATAAAAAATGGATTTGTATCACTAATTAATCATACCTTGTAAAAATTCCCAATTGTCTATATCTTCTTAATAATAATTGATAAATTAATTTTTCCTTCACGTTTCCAATGGAACATAGGGCTTCAAGCTAGTGGCTTGAAGTTTCTGAAGCAGTGGTGTTTATTTTTAGAGGATGGGATTGCTAGCCTCATGCCCAACCTTACCTGTTTACCAGCATTATTTCTGGTTTAGCGAGGTAAAGGAGTGCGTCGGCCGGGGATCGAACCCGTGGCCATGTGCATGGTCCGCGTGCGTCCTAACCGCTGTAGCACCGACGCTATATCTTCTTATGGAGTAGCTAAAAAATGTTTTACAACTGTTTACCCATGCACATATGCACACACAACATTGTATACTGCATCGACACATATTTTCATATTCAGTTATCTACGGCCATGAAATTTACAGCGATCGCAATTGATGGAAAGTACATTTTGTTTAATGTGTTTAACAAAAGCAGACTAATTTTTAAAAGTCTGAGGTCAAATTTTGATCATACCTCATACAATTTTGTTTATTATAAATGTTGATACTTGTTACATGATTCATATGATTGGAGAAAGTTTTTAAAAACAAGAGATGTTCTTTTATATATAAACCTCTGTTAAGTTGATTTGGATTAATTTCCCTGAGGTTCGGACCAGATTACCGAACGAAACGTTGGAATTACTCATTTCAATTTCGCTGAGATTTTACAAATATAATTTCCCAAATGTCTATTTCTCACTAGACACCCAATTATTTCGGAACTATTCGGTCAAATCTTGACCACAGTTCATATGATTCTAAATTATGTTTCATGTATGAATAACTATTTTCACTAAACGCACCTTGTGCGTAAGAGGGTTCTTGTTATTGCTCCCTTAGATTGCGAGTTGAACATAGAGCCCTAACAGCAGATCATCATTTCACCCTATTCTTTGCAGACTTTTCTGTGTGACTCTACGACGGTCCATAAGCCCCATCTCCTTACCATACGATGTCATGTTATTGTCGGACGCTGAGCTCATTTTTTCCCATTCTGCTTCGACTTGAGGGCCTGGAGTTTGACATCACTCATCGGTCTCCTTAGTATGTGTCCAGTCTATCCGCATTATTTTGAGTATATTTGTTTGGCATTAGGTTTTTACCTAACTCTTGTCAGGGAAAACTTTAATATGTCCATGTAATTGGACACTGATGAACTCGTGAAATTCTTTGTGGATATGGTTGTACATTCCAGATTCATAATGCATCCAAAAACGTCTGTTCTTAGGATTCATTATAAATAATCATTCGGTTTGTTTAGATGTCACTTTGCATGTTTATTTCTTAGTTTCAGTGTCATTTTGAAAAGTAATAAATTTTCTAGTTAGCCTTGTTTGATTTCTTTCATTATTCTAATAATAATTCAGCTGATGTGTTTAGTTTTACCTCGAATAGATTATCCTTTGTCACATTTTTCTGCTTAACTTCTTTAATCATTCTTATCACATGTTTCCTATAGGTTCCCTACTTTTTACTTAGGGTATTAGTGGGCTGAATAACATTTCATTTTCTCCATCCATTTTCATTCGATTGTCAAACGGAAAGAGAAAATCTTGTTATTAGATTTATGGCTTTAGTACTAGACTGATTATACTTGATTTTCACCAAGGTATGTTGGTTAGTCGTTCCGTATACTTCGCCGTCCACTATTTTTCACTAGTACTTTTTATAAAGACAGAAAAAGTTGAAAAACTTTATTGCTTGTTCACGCTTTTTGTTCATTTCTTAATTCAAGTGTAAAAAAAGTCGCCTCAACAATAAGCCAGCTATAATTTCGTCATAGCTTGTCAACGTGCAATTTTGAATCTTTCATAGGATACGATATTCATTTTTCAGCTGAAACAATAATGTTATCGAGAGTCTAAATTTTGTTGGTAAACAGTATGATAATAAAACGTCTGCGATGCTTCCAATTTAGCTGATTGTTTAGACCAACATTCTCTAGAAGTGACTATAGACCCAGGCATAGACCTACATATATAGAAACTAAAAAGCAGAAGTAAGGAGAATTTAGGCTCTTACTAGCTAAATGCGGGATATGGTCTTTATTCACTTTATTAAGGAAACCAATAGCTCTAATAAATACTTAAACTTTAATTCCTTCCATCCACAATCAGTGAAGGTAGGTTTAGTTAAATGTCTATATAATCGGGTTGACAGCCCAACTAGTAAGCTAGAAGATTTTATTAATGAAATCAGGCAAATAAAGGAAATATTACCAGTGAACAATTACCCACCAGAATTTATTCAGAAACACATGAAGAACCATAGAAAAATTAGGATTAGTAATAAAAATGAAGAAAATAACGAAAATAATATAGATTTCAAAGCCTCTGTTGTACTACCATATAAAGAATGAACGTCAAAGACCTTACGTAGGATTCTTAGGGAGGCTGGAATTAGAGTGACATTGAAACCAACCCACTGACTCTCTCAGAGGTAAATTTTGTCAGCTTAAGGACCCAACGCAACTAATAAGAAAAGTGACATAATTTACCAGATACAATACAATGATTTTAAGGTCAGTTACATAGGTCAAACTACTAGTTCAAGGTCAACTAGATTATTGGAAGATAAAGATTTAGACAGACTGAGAACGATTGACCCTGCTAAGTTAATGACCTAGAAAAAAGCTCAGCCATTGCACTTGTATGAGATCACAAAATAGGGTGGGACAAGGTGAGGGTATTAAAAAAAGTAACATATTTAGTTGGAGAGGGAGGTTCATCACTGAAGCTTTGTTTATTGATTCAACACCACACACGCGCAATCGGAATAACGCAATGCCTATGACGGAGATATGGAAAGGGACAACAAACAACAAAGGGAAATATATATATTTAATAATTCCCATTGTAGCATTAAGAACACAATATTCAGCGAAGAGACTCTTTTCAGCGAATTTATTATCAAGCTGTACAATCGTATATATATGGTTTTTAAGAAATTATATCCGGTGAGGGAATTAGGTCAAAGGTGTGAATACATGAAATAATAATAGTAGTATGAAATACAATTAAAATGTTTGTGATTATAATCATAGTTTAATGTCAAGCGGCAAAATAATTAATGTCATCTATAAAATAATACATGAGGTGTATATAGGATTAGTAGATTAGTAGAAGAATATAAAATGTTACACAACATGGTGAGAAGTTTGATAAGATAGAATTCAATATTGTAAAAATAAAAAAAATGAAAATTAATAATTTTGGGTTTAAAATGACAAGTGCGTCAAGTGGACAAGATTCAGAGTGAGAATAGTAATGATAATAATAATAAAGGTAGTAATGAGGGAAAAGTACATAGAATAGCTAAATAAACAAAATAAATGAATATCTATCCCTGTATGGCCAAGGCAGAAGTAGGGATTGTACGTACTTCTTTTGTACACAAAGGTTTGGCTTAAAGTCATGAATTACCAAGTCCTCAGCTGTCTTTAGAAGTCTGTAACGAAGAAAACGCGGGAAGTTAGCATGAATTCTATATATGATCATTTAATCATGACCAGGGTTTACTGAGTGACAGAAGTCGATCAGGTGTTCCAGAATAGAGCTTCGCACACACTTCATTTCTCCCTTGTAAAACCAAGCTGGAATATCTTCTCGTATCCGTGTGGAGAGCGTTCTCTGACTACGGCCAATCTACCTTGCTCTACAAGAGCAGGTGAACTGATAGATGCACATGGAGGCGGTCAGACTGGAGAGCTTATCTTTTAAAGAGGTAGAGAACAATTTGCGGCTCGTGAACGTCATATGTAATCCAGCTGCTGGGAATGTCTTACAGATTGATTTAGAGAGACAATTTTTAAGCATATCTGAAGCTTGATCACCTTTGAATTCCAAGTTCATGAATAAGCTTTTCTTTGGAACTGAGTCGGTGACCAGTTTAGACTGCTTATCTTTCATGCTGCTGTCAATAAATCGGTTAGGGTAACCATTTTCTGCGAGCGTGGCTTTTAAGAAGCCAAGTTCTGAGTCAACGCAATCAGAACTACAAAGTTTCCTTATCCTAAAGCAGAGTGAATGAATTAAGTTCCTTTTTCTGGAAATAGGCACCGAACTGTAAAAATTAGTTAGTTGTCCGTTCCATGTACGTTTTCGGTGGATAGATCTTTTGAGATATCCGTCATTACGTCTGCTGAGGCACACATCAAGAAACGGAATACTTAGTTCAGATTCCTTTTCTATGGTGAATTGTAAAGAAGGATGGCAGTTGTTGAAAGCAAACAAGACATCATCAAGAACTACGTTCTTATCGCAGATGATGAAAGTGTCGTCTACGTATCTTTTATAAATGTCAAAATGACCGATGGTTTGAGTAATTTGAGTTTTCAAACTTTTCCATAAAACAGTTAGCCAGCAAAGGACGCAGTGGTGTTTCCATCCTCAGAAACCAAACTCTTGAAAACTTACATTAGTGTTTCAAAAAACTTTATTTTGTGAGCATCCGTTTTACAGAGGCTTTATAAACAACTGAATACGCATTCATTGAATGGTGAATTTCTCTTCTTTCTTGTGGAATCTGTTGATAAGCATGCAAATACTATTTTGAAGTTCGTGGCTAGTATTTTAAGTGCATACTTCTGCTATCAAAGTTACAACGCATAAAATTTTAATACGTTGAAATGATCTCAGAGAACATTGTTTGTTTCTGTGCCCAGCTAGAGATTAGAAAGGACGGTGAACTGAATGAAGGGATCTCGAAGAGACAGTAGCACCCTTCAATTTATAGTGCTTATATTCATTCATCCTAATGTTCACAGGAAATTCTGCCATATTAAAAACAAGTTTCAGTTTTTTGAGCGATATATTGTATCTACTTAATTGGATAGTTAAGTACTATCATTTTGAAACAAAAATAATATTGACAGAAACGGGAGTAATAAATTTTTTAATTGTGCATAAAATCCTTTTGGGAACTAACTGTGATATTTAACTCTTTGACATGTTGGCTATGAAATAGTTTGATTTTTGGGAGTGAAACAGAAGTGAGTTTATATGACCAGGGAGATTATTTGAAAACGATGTCTTTTTGAAATCTTTATTAATAATATGTTTATTCTGGAGAGTATTTATAAAAAGTACAAAATTTTTAGAGATAATTATTGCATGATATATTCCCTTCGTACAGCATCTTCAAGGTAAACATTAACTGGCATTATATTCTGTGACACAATGGTGTCTGAGCTGAAGCCCATCCATTCCATTATGTTATATCTACTTTGTCTCCTTCAAGATATCCACGATATCTAGTTGAAAGCCAATCGTAAGATGTTCAGAAGTACATTTTGCGAACGAAGAACAGTTATCTCCTGTATCGTATTACTTCCCCCCCGCCCCTCGACAATCAGGCATTTCCTCAAGTTTTGTGGGAACTTTCGAAACAGGAGCTTATAAGCATTTTAAATACACACAAGAGTAGAGAATACCGTCATAGGTCACATCTTAATCAATTAAAACAAAGCGAGCGAGAAAAAAATACATGAAATAGAGAGAGGGAAGATTTTGGTAGCACAAGGTTTAAGCTGGCTGCATCATTCGCGTTATTCTGTTTTTATTTCATGTGAGAAAGTAACATGTTTAATGATCTCTTCATTAGTTATTAGATTAGGGGAATGAACTAGTTCTTAAATCACGCCTGTCCTCGTTGGCTAATTGTCGTTGACAAGTGAAACAGACTATAACCGGAAAATGCAAGATATGTACATCTAATGAAATGAACATATCCAGCAAGCACCACACTGTCTAATTTACTCTCTGGTATCTTTGAGAAAGAAAACACAGAAATCTCCATCAATTTTATGTAGAAAACTTGTTGCATGAATGTGAGAACTAATTAGATATACCAGTCCTTTAATTCAGTTTCCTATGATGACCTGAACTAAATTCTTTCACGTTAATTTTAACGCATACATAATCAGTCCGGTGTGGTGCAATAGAAACTTCAGTCAGATGTTGTGTTTAAAGAATCATGAATTTGATCGCCGCTTAAAAATGCTGAACTATGATGTGTGATGAAAACAAAATTTTATCATAGTATTTTAAATGTTGAAAGTAATTTTTACCAAACAGTTTCATTATTGAAGGTTATTCTCTATTTTTCTATTTATTTTTAGTCAAATAATATGAAATATAATTTCATATTTTTGTTTAACAACTGTAGATCCTCTGCTCAGACAATATAATTGTGGATAGCTTAGTCAAAGTAGAACTACAGACAAAATTTAGTGAACTCAAACGTCAGTTTGCTGAACTTTCTTCATTTATGCAACAGAATGTGGATGTCGTAAACACACTGAAAACACTTGAGAAAAGGTAAGCTACTGCTAATTTAACAAGAGCGAGGGGAGCTATAGCAGACCTGTTTCAGACTTAAAGCTGAATATTTTTGTGTTAAGTGGGTCATCTTCCTACATAATTTTTAATTAATGATACTGGTGGATGAATTAGTTTTTAAAATCTAATTTAGTATAGCTGATTGTTTCTCCACGCATTAAATCATAGGAATTCTTACCTCTGGAATGTCCCAGAATTCACATTTTTTCTTCACTGAACTATTCTTGAAGCTATATCACTTTGGAGCAACTTCTAGATATGAAGTTAGTTTTCTCATTATTACAGTATGTCGGACTAATTTAACGTATTATTCTAGTTAATCTGTACTTATATGGACTCTTGTTTTGTACACTGATGATTTATTTATGATAATTAACTTCACTAATATGCATTTTTCTATGGTAATAAATCAAATGTAACAATGTCAAGTAAACAAATAGTTGTTGTTTATTACGTCATACTTTTCAAGAAATTTTGTTTACACGAAAATCGCATCAACTTTCTGTAGATTACTACAAATTTAAGCCAAGTAAGAATTCTAATTTGCAGATGACAAAATTTTTAAATCCTTTGTGTTCCAAGTGAAGCATTTAGCTTCAAGCTGGAGCTTTGAATTTTCAGTATAAGTGAGTGTTTATTTTTTTTAATAGTTGGGTTTGCTAAACTCACGTCCAACCTTCCCTTACTTATGAGCACTGCCAGCTAAGCAAGGAATGAGTTGGCCGAGGATTGAACCTTGAACTACTTGCATGCTTGGTGAGTATTCTCCCATTGACTCACCGACTCACAGTGGATAATAGTGTCTTAGATACATTACTGTACATGTGATAGCAAATGCTCCCAGCTGTGACTGTTAAGTATTTTCCATTCACAGCTTTCACATTTTCTTTTAAAATTTAAGTTCACGTAATGTTCTGTAAACATTAGTGAATAATACAATAAAAATTAGTAGCTCATAAATATAAACATTATTTCAACTTTTGGGGATATTACATATATTGTGTCGTTCGCTGAAACGACTCATCAGAAAGGTGTTTCTTCAACAACTGCGGGGTTCGATACACTGTGTGAGATTTGAAGCAGTGCCACCCAGTGCTGGAGTTCAGTTACAACTGGCAAAAAAGACTTTGTACATGACATTCTTTATGTTTTAGTGACCAACCATAATGTCAAGAATTTCGGTCCTGAGCATGGTCAATACTTGTTTACATTTTTCATGTCCGATTAGCAATAATATCCTTCTACAATTAATCTATTGATGAGTAGCATGTAATGGTCATTTGAATTAGAGTAAAATTGGCAGTTTGTGAAGTTTTACGGAACAAATTCGATCTTGGTGGAGTAGCTATTCACAATAAAATGTTTTGTTTATCTAGGTGGCAAGCGGTATTCTTGATTTTGTTCCATAAATTACTGAGTTTATTAAATTGGTTGACATTCTGTTTATATGCTTTTTAGGCGCATTTGACGTATATTTTACTGCAAAAAATGTTGGATAATTATAGAATAAAAATTCAATTTATTTCATAAAATAACCATATAACCATCTATTTCAATGTCATGTTGCCTAATCTGTTTAATTCGGTGTTACCAAAGTATCTCAAAAATCCAGTTTTTAACACAATTGTGGTGAAATTGAGACTGGAATCAGCTACTCACAATACACGGTGACCTCTACTGAAATAAAGGTTTTTCATGCAACTAAAGACAAAGCTAATAATGCGCGATTATTACAAGTCTTGTATCTTCTTATTTGTAAATGTCAGTTACCTTTAATAGGCTTAATTTACTCCTCTTCCATATGGCTATTAAAATAACACATGCAGTGTTCATTCCGCTGACAGCCGCTATCAAAGTAGTTTACGACTATGTACTTTAAAAGAAGCAGCTAATTAACTTATTCTCGTTAATGGTTTATATAAAAAATTATACATTTGGTAAATCCTTGAACACATGCAACAGAGTATAGGTATTTTTTAGGAGTTGCAGAAACATTTGCATGTGTTTTACAAAAACTGACACCAATTAAGTTTTCATCGATATGCTAGTTTATATATATTTTTTAACTTTCATCCTTCATTGAATTGTAAGTTTGCGTGAAAGTATTTATATTATACCATTCTGACAAAGTATGGTTTTTGTTTCGTTAGAGAGTGTTAATCTTAAGCCAACTTCCAAGATTTACCGCTGGTTGAAAGCTGATTACTTTCTACTTCCTACTGACATGATTGGATCGCTTGATAAAGTAGCTCTATTTAGGATATACCTAAATATATTTTACTTTTAGTTTGAAGTACGCTTGATATTAGATGTGGAATTAGTTTTTTCTTGAAAGCAATGCAAAGTTTTATTGGCTCGAATGTCGAAGAAAAAGAGTTTCTTCAATTCCTAGGATGACTTACTCTTTTAAAAACATAGAGCACGAAGAGAAGTAATTCTAAATATAAAGAAAAGCAAATAATATTATCTTTCTTCAAGTAAGTTCTAGTGGGAAGTCGTTACCAGTGGGGTACAGCAAGTTCGGTGGGAGGACAAATACTCGCCACCGATAAAATTGGCTAGTGGTTGTGCTTTATCGAGAATCAACAGGAGTTGGAATTCATGGACCCTTGGATCGAGTCCCAAAGGCTGAATGGTCTACAAGCTCGCCTTGTAACTAGAAGGTTCTAAGCTTGAACCGCAATGGGTGCATACTGCTGAAGAGACCCAAATAGGACTAAACATTTGTGCAGAACTCCCAGATTTTCCAATGGTTCTACAACCGATTTCAGTTCATGTTGAAATCCTGATACATTTGTTTTATTTGTTTCTTTAGTAAACTGTCAGTGATCAAGAAATTATAAACAAATTAATTTATAGATTTCAAATGTAATTTGAAAGTGAAAGGCACAATAGGTTGGAAGGAAAATGACTTTTAATTCAGCCGTATTCGCTTACACATAATTCATTTGATAGTGTTAATTTCCTAATAATTGTTCCTCATCGTTGCACGGTACAAAAGTATTATTCTTGTATTTTGAATATCTCTTGAAATTCTTTGATACGAAGTTTCTCGAAAACACTACACGTTATTATTGGAACGACTTTACTCAGAAACAGTTCAAAAAGTACTATAAAAGTTTTTTCAAGCTAAATCCAAGGGTTACACAAAGTAATCTTCGCTCTTAATACTTCATTTTCCACGTTGGCTTCTTGACCTAATTTTGGATATTTTAGGAAATTTAGCCAAAACTTAATTAGAAAACGGCCAAATTCAGCGGTTTATGCAGAAGTTATCACATTCTTTAAAGTCCTTGTTATAGTGTATACTATTAAAATAAATTTGTATATACCGACGTCGTTGAAATGTATGCCATAGAGAAAAAAATAGCAAATTATTAAAGGAAAGAAATCAATCAACATTATTACGCCTTAAGGATTAATACGTCATTGATATCTATTACGTCAGTATGTAAATGACAGGGATATATACATATATATATTGTGCTGTAGTCTGGAGACTGACTTAAATGAAGCAGAACTAGTAATATAGCATGCTTCAATAATGTGTCACATGTGGGGTGAGGGGGTGATTAGGTGATATCACAGTAATAGCAAAAGTGATAGTAAAAAAAGAGACATGTAAAATTAAAATGTCAGGTCATAGAAGTGGAAAATAGAATGAATATCCTTGTTAATATATGTGTAAAACTTGGGCACTGAGGTAGTAAGAAATTTCATATTAGTTTGTCTGTTAGATGTATCACACAGGAAAACAGTAATATTAACTGGATGACGTTTCGAACAAAATTTAATGTTCATAATCATATCGTCAATTATAATCACACGACTTCGAAACTTGAGTTTTACAGTTTTCTTTGTTTTCTCCTATTTATCGTAGGGGTAGTAGAAACAAGCTTTGTCAGTTAAAGAATGCTGTAAATCCCATTAAACAAAACAGTTTACTTTATCTAATAACCTGCTTGAATGCTTGTCAGGTCAAATACGTAGGTCAAAGTAGTAGAACAGGTGCAGTCAGACTAGTCGAGCATAAAAAACTAGTAAAATCCAGATTGGTTGAACCGAATAAGATAAGAAATCTAGAGAATAGTTCAGCTATAGCACTACATGCACTCACACGCAACCAAAGAATAGGATGGGATAGGATGACAGTTTTAAAATCGAATATCACAGGGTAGAGAGAGAGTGATAACATAAGCTTTGGTTATCGAATCAACTGCAAATACATGTAATAGGAATGATTCAACACCTGTCCAGCCAGATATCTGGAAAATTCTACTACCCCTACGACAAATAGGAGAAGACAAAGAAAACTATAAAACTCAAGTTTCAAAGTCGTGTGATTACAATTGATACGATTATGAACAATAAATTTTGTTCGAAACGTCATCCAGTAAATAATACTGTTTCGCTGTGTGATACATCTAATAAACAAACTACTATTGAATGAATATCCCGCTATTCGATATGAAGATTAGACTATAAGTGTAACATACTTAGCTTAAATTTTACAGACTTTGAGAATTGTGCCCATCACTTATTGAATCAATAAAACAAACATAATATTCTGTAATGGATTTTTAACCAAAAGTGGTAAAATTACATAAAAGTGGTAACTCTCGCAGATTAAAGTCTTTTTTAATAGTATTGTCGAACTTTGAAATCAGAAGATTAAGCTTAATTGATGAATAGGTTAACAGAGATTTGGGGAGTTATGAAATCTCCACAAAAATGTCAACTATACAAACAAATTTTTCGGTTTAGCGCTTCATGAAGAGCATTTCTGGAAGCCTACTACAGGCTTTCAGAGAAAATTGCCTTCACTCCGTGCTAATATGGTATGGGACCTAAGGACTAACAACAAGGAACTCTGAGAGGCAACCAGTGAAAAACCTATTGCTCAAAAAATATATTTAGAAAAAAAAGCCGGAATTTGATCGGACACATGTTGAGGACACCATTGAGTGAAATCTCTCTCCAGGCTATCTCTTGGGTGGAACCCGAATCAGAAACGACAAGTTTGACGTGTATCCAAGGATGACATAGAAGAGATCGAGCCAGTGAGAAATGAGAAACTATGAACAATCGTGTAGCCAGATAAAGAAGACCGTAGAGAATCGCACAAAGTGGATGTGTATTAATGAAGCTCTTTGTTCCACTCAGAACCCGTAAGAATAATAGTAATATTGTCTGACAACATGAATGGAAAATGTTTGCTGAATAAATTATATCAGACACGAATTAACTAAGTGATTCTATTGAATGTTTTGCCCTATTCGAACTGACATTTTACACCGATCTACTGGTGCAGAAAAAAGTAAACTTTTGGTTAAGTCAGGGGATATTATCTGCTTCACAGAATTGTTGTAAGATGGTTAGAGGCAATCAGCAGGATGCATTGTCGGATTCAGGTTTCATTTTCATTAGCTTTCGTCAGCGAGGGGTACTGGTAATCTAAAAAGAACTCATATCCCTTCTGAGATAAGAATCGAATAATGCGATTAGATACGTCACCGGTCAGCTATTCAAACTCTCTATTAACCTTCTGTAGGACTGTAATGGTTTTTCCAATCAAAATGTCAGTCTGCACCGAACTAAGGACCGCTATCTAGTGTCCAATCAACGTTTACCAAAAATATTACAACAGTACTAACATTCTTTTGTTCACACCCTCCTATCCAAAAAAGGATCTTAGTTATTAAAACTTGGTGTTAAAAAAATATGTCTGATTTGCAGTTATTCAAAAATGTCACTTTGGTAATGTTTTTTTTTCAAATTTTTTTTTTACAGACAATAAATGTCTGACATGAAAACACAAAAAACATGTGTTGTCCAGAAGGGAGTAAAGCACCATTTTTAAAGTCTTACAAAGGAGAATATTATTGTGTATTACAATAAAAAAACAATGGGAAACATAAGTGCAGCGTATTGTCTAAGATCTCCAGTTTAAAATTAATATATGTGAGTATAACTGTTCAGTAAGTAGCCTGGAAATATCCACTACACCATATACATGAGTAAACAATAATTAAACACATCATTTCCATAAAAAAGTATTTCATTTTACAAGAAGGAGAAAGTATGCCATTTATACTTCTCTGTATTCAGGTAGATCTATTTTAGTCTACAGTCGCATTGTCGAATTGAAGGGAAGTCTGCGGATTTCATCCCCTACCCGAGGGGTAGCATAAGGTACAAAAGATAAGCGAATAATAGTAATGGTCGAAGCTCAGTGTATGTAAGCACTAAAATCAGCAAAAGAAAGCATAGCTAACGAAATTAACGAAATCGTAAAGACTATTTCTAGTGAGTATCGAATATGATAAATACATGGTAATTGCAAGGATTAATTCGACTCTACCAAAGAAATCATTAAAAATATTACAGTAGGTCCATATTACAAATATTAACAAACCTGTAGATACAGTGATGAACAAGATTAACAAATCCACGCAGGATGAAGTCATCACTGGCAGAGTCTACATGTATTAATTTAATACCTAGAACGAATCAATATTCCCAGTAGGATAAATTGTACAATTGCACTGTTATAGTATTAAGATTGGACGCGCTCAGAGTGATATATGCTGTTAATGAACGTTGAAGATACTAAAAAAATTGAGGAACTGAAGAAAAATCACCTGCAGTTTTTAGTTTTAGCGCGATCAAATGTAAAAAGTATTACAATGCAGCAAATAAAATCATTAAGTTATCATTGTACCTACCAAAATCAACTTCTTATGGTCTGATCGCAAGAAACTGACGTTTGCGTTCTAATTTATAGCTATCTGAAACTTCATTGAGACACTCAACAGTCAGAAATCACTCCAAAATTTAAAAATGAAGATTATTCTCCCTAGAATCTATGGTTTTATTCAACAATAATTAACATCAGGAACTCAAAATCATTCCAACAGTGTCATTCGGCAGCTATAAAGGCTAGATAACTTTATAGTATAAAACAAGTACTGCAGAGCAAAGTTGATTAACCAATATCCAATCTTAAGAAGCACCTTAAAATCAAGTGGAATATACCCAACAAGGTTGGATCAAAACTCTCTACAAAAGAATAACACGCTAACAATTCCAATAGATAGTTCAGGGTCAGAATGACTTCAGCTTAGCCAAACAAAATCAAATCGTAAAACAATACATTATCAGTGTGTCGCACAGCTACAAAGGGATGCATTAAAATTAGAGGTTAAACAGGGAAAAAGACAAATAATAAGAATCAAGTCAACAAATGATAAGCAAATATCAGAACAGTGATATATAATCCAGGAGAAAAACGGACGACAATTACGAAGTTGGTTGGAACATCCAAATAAGTATAAATGTCGTGATTTAATTGTTCATTATGTATTTTACAAGCAATCATTCCGTTATAATCATCTAGTGAAATTAACTTAAATACTTTTTGAAGATCACGACAAAATTTTACTACACACTGGAATTTGCAATATTAAGACGTCGTATACAGGAAGCAAGCTATCTAGGGAGCATTGTCTCAACTACAGCCAGTCGGAACGGACGAGGATGTCAAATCGAGAGAGAATCGGGAAGGTGAGAAACACATTCATCAACCTGAAACCAATCCGGAAATCTTCGTCACTCAGTCAACATCAACAACAAAATTGGCTCGGATCTTCAATACAAACAACGTCAAGTCAGTCAGCTCTTCTATACGGATCAGATGAGGAACTTGGCGGGTGGGTCACAAAGAATATTTCCAACAGCCTGTTGCAGACCAGACCTTTATTAACAACTGTCTTCTTTGCTCTATACCTGAATATCAGATGGCCGGGCCGGAAAGAATCATCAACAAGAAGCTATGGGAACAAACAAAACAAGAACCAATCGCTCAACAAATATGCAGGAAAAAGTGGAGATGGATCGGTCACTCGCTGAGGAGGCTGCTGGGTAACATCGCGCACGCGTCAGGTCTCTCGAGTGGGAGGACCCCGAAAGAGAGGCGGTGAGTGGGGGGTCAGTGCGAGAGTGGGTGACATGGAGGAGATCGTGTGAAGAGGAGGTGAAACACTATGGACTAACTAACATGGATGGAGGTGAAAAGAACAGCAGAAGGAAGACAGAAGTGGCAAGTGGAGACGTGCATTTGAAGCCCTATGTTCCAATAGGAACCCAAGGGAACAACAATACTACTACTACTACTAATAATAATAATACGGGAAGCACTCCATATCCAGTTGAAGTAAAAGAAAATAAGAATGAACAATTTTATGCATTCTACCATCTTTTACAATTACAAAACGGTCAGTTAAGGTAAAATCTGCACAATCAGTTTCCCTTAATATGCAAGATTTAATTTAATGGTATAGAAGTGACAGGACATCTAGTTTATAAATATGAAGATGGTCTTATAATTATGCAATACAATAATGATAATTGTATTGTTGCCGCTTATAAGCCTATGCATGCTTAAGTCTCTTTAGAGTTAACTATAAAATTGCTCATTGGTTAACTTTAAACTTTTGAAATGAAAGCTTTCACGTGAACTGCCTGTTCCCACTTGCTACGTATTGTTGACTACTTAGAAGGTAGAAGATCTGCGTATTTTATCAAAAATTGTATCAAATAAATTTAAAATATCCATCAAGAATACAAAAAAACCAAACAGGAATAATATGAAATGATGTATATAACACATAAATAATCAGGTCACTCTTCTTATTAAATAATCCTTCTTACCTTCTACATCAAGAAGTTAAGGCATAATGGAATAACCTAACCCTTACTCCAAAGATTCGTTAACTCTCGCATCCTGCCTATTATTCTATATTGTTTCCCCTTAGTTTTTCCTGGGCTACTGAAGAAAGACTATATCTTAATACGCAGGATGTTAAAGGTTGTCAGCAGGGTAAGCTACGTGCCACTTAACCAGCTTGTTAATATTCTGGTTGACAGGCACATGGATGCATGTGAAAAATGTTCTAAATCCATTTTATCTAACTCACAGCACCCTCTTTATTCACGACTCTCCTCTTGTATCTCATCAGGCAGAACCGAAAGCCTATATAGAAAACTATATGCTCGCACTAGTAAGTACAAAAACTCACCCATACCCTACTTAGCTCGTGTTCTGTGCGATAAAGAAAGCATTAGGCGTGATAGCTATAACTTAATAAATAGTCAGTAGAACAACTGGATCTCGTCTTTCCAACTTATATCATTTATAGGTACAACGTTTTCTTTCTTTCTTTTCCTTTTCTCTCTCTCTTTTTTCTGTTATGTGCAGCTTTCTTTATTTCTTCTGCTTACGGCAGTAAACATGCTAGCATTTACTTTTCTAACGCCTTCAAACACTCTGTTCAATTTTCGCTTTGCTACCAACATGCTGAAATGTTGTTGTCAAAACTAATTGAGATTACCCTTAATTTATGTAGAATTTTATTTATTGTTAATGTACTAACCTGGATGCAATACTGTACGTGTGAAATGCTGAAAATTCCGTTCTGTATCACAAGTACTATTTTGGAATAAAGCAAATTATTATTATTATTATTATTAAATGTGTAATCTTATTTTTGTTCACATCTTATCACAGAATCGATCTTCATAGGCATGCTGTTCATACTAATTTAAAACTACAAGATGATATTTATCGCAAAGAAGATGAAATACGAAAGGCGAGAATAGCACTGGCTGGGATAGAAATTCAAGTGAGTCAAACAATTGAAAATGTCTATTAATTTGTTTTATGTCTTGCACTGACTTTTTTAAAGTGTTGTTTCTTCTTTTTTCAACTTATTCTTCTGTATATGTCTGTTAACTTCAGTTGCTGTTGTTTTTTTAAATTTCCCTGAGAAATGGCGGAAGGAAGTTTATTTTACATGATGTACAAAGAAATGAATATATATATATATATATATATATATATATATGTACGTATATGTCATTCATGGGAGTACAGCGGGAATAAGTAAAAGCTAACAGATAACCAACCAACCACCCATGATGTAGCTTGTTTATCAGAAATTTATTATCAAGTTGCTTTTATTTTTCAAAAATAAAACAGTTAAGTGCATCATTATATAAACCAACATCATACTAAGGTTTATGACACTGATACTGCACGAATTACAGAAATTTGTGAACTGGCCTTTTACAGGACAACTAAAAATTCACCTCTCCCACCCCATATGCATAACTCTAAACATAGTGTTGTTTAATGTGAGACAGCTTTAAATGCTCTGCAGAATGATTCCCATTGAAGTGAGTTGTTGTCATCAAGTATTGCCTTTCTATTTTATGATTGTTTCATTTGCATAAATCTTAATGCACACTTAAGGTCATGAAAATCATTATGTTAACATTAGATATTACATCGGCTGAACTAAATCTCTACAATTTAAATAATGAGTGTATTTCATGAATGTATATTAATGTTTTCACGAACTTTTAATGCTAAAATCTAAACATGAGGTTACTGTTGTGTACAGTTGTATGTAAATATTTTTGTGACACGTTCGATCACCAGCTGACATAAGTTAGAGAATCACTGGAAATACAGGGAGAATGGAAAGCTCTTTCAACTTAGGTTGAGACTCTTTGAACCCCGATGAGTGTGAACTGAAGAAGAGTCGCAAACTGGGACGAAGCAGATTTCCAGTGTAATGACAGAAGACAAGGGCTAGGCAACAGATCGTTTATTAAGGAAATCAACGAATATTTATATATTTTTATGTACATTATTATTCCTTATTACTAGCAGAGTAACAGAGTCTTCTGATTGGTTGTTTTCTCTCCAAAAGTTAATCTGTCATCTCTTTGTGGCCGTTTCTTTGAAGGTCAGACCATATATCTGCAAATCGTATCCACCCACGCAAAGTTTTTGTTCTTGTTTTCCTCATGACTAAGATTTGGGACGTGAAAATTTACGTGGATTGCTGTCTATCAATTTTGGCTAGCAGAGAGCTCTCAGCAAACTAGTACTCTAATCCTTGTCGTTTCATGACCAATACTGTAACCAGTCAAATCCATGCAAACCAACCCTTGAGAAATATGTATGTTTAGGAAAACCGCGTTGGTAGTACAGCGGTAGATTGCTAGCCAACCACAGGGGCGGTTCAAGGCTCGATTCCCTACCAACGCACTCCTTCACCGCGCTAAGCCAGTAATAAGACTGGCAAAGAGGGAAGGTTGAGCATGAGGCTAGCAACCCCACCCCATAGAAATAAACACCACTTCTACTGAAACTTTAAGCCTCTGAATTGAACCCCTATGTTCCAGTGGGAACGTTGAGGAATAAAAAAATTCAACTAGTGTCTTACTTTTTTTTAAAATCAATAACGCTTTAATAACTTGATAATTTTTTGATTGATCTGTTACTCGACCAGTGATATGCATGAATGAAGAGTTCAAAAGTAGGTCACAATGTGACTGTCACTTTTCTCACTCAACAAAAAAAACGCTTCTGTAACTGTTGCAGGTTTGTGATAAAATATACTTCAAAGAAGTCTTATTTTATTTCACCTTATCTTGAAGTGGAAAAGTTGAAACGTTTTTATAAGATAGTTATTTTCATACCTATTAAATCATTTCTGTATCAAATTTCCATTCTTTAATTGGTTTTTAAACTCAATAGAAGCGTATGTTTTTATTGACTCGATTAAATCAATATCTGCTTATGACAGAGATAATGGTTATTTTATCTGGTTTTTAATAGTAAAATAGTAATAGAAAGCAGCCTCATTGAGTATAACAATATATGTTCATGAAATTCGTGATTCGAACAAGTACATATGTGTTCACTTCATTCATTTAGATTAAAAAATAATTGCTTTTGACGAAAAATATTTAGATGAGAACCAGATTAGTTAGAAGTGGTATTTTTTTCTTGTTCACCTATATATGTCGAATAAAACTTGCCACTTGATGATTAGGACAGATTTGGAATTTCCCTGGGGGGCTAAAATAATTATTGGGATTTAAAAATATATGCTATTAAAGTCTGCTACAAGATGTAATACTAAATTTAAGATAATAGTTCAGAGCAGAATAGTCAGGAAGCTTTCGAAGTGAGGACGGGAGTGAGGCAATGCTGTCTTCTATTGCAAATGATCTTCCTGATTACAGTAGATTGGATAATGAGACAGACAACGGGAAAAGAGGAAACAGGCATAAAACGGACCCACACAAAAAACTTGGAGGATCTGAACTTCGCCGATGATATATGTCTGATTTCCCACAAAGTGGAAGATATGCAAGTGAAAAGAAACAAGTTGACAGAAGAAGCATCCAGAGAAGATAGGCCTTCAGGTGAAAATAGATAAAATAGAGGTGATGAAGATTCCTGGTCAACAGCAACAGCCACAGCAACAACAACAGACAACCATCAGCCTACCACCTATCTACCTGGGAAGCATCGCTTCAACTACAGGTGGACGGAACTGATGAGTATATCAAAGCCAGAATCGGAAAAGCAAACAAGCTTTCATTACTCTCAAGTCTGAGTGGAGGTCAACAGAACTGCTCATTGTCAAAAATAAGATCCGGATTTTCAACTGAAATGTGAAGTCAGTGCTACTATACGCATCAGAGACTTAACGCGTCATAAGGAGCACCTCAAACAAACTACACACCTTCATTAACAGTCGTCTTCGCTCAATACTCAAAATCAGATGGCCAGAAAAGATCAGCAACAGAGTGGAATCTCTGGCAATGAGCGAACCAACCAGGAACCGATTGTGAAACAAATAGACAAGAAGAAATGGAGATCGACTGGCTGGCCATACTCTGAGGAAACCGTCGAGTGACATCACTAGACAAGCCATCGCTCGAGTGGAACCCGAAAGGGAACCGGGGAGTTGGTCGTGACTTGGAGGAGGTCATGTGAAGAGGAGATGAAAGTATGTGAGCAGACGTGGAGCGAGGTGAAAAAGTTGGCAGAAAAGAGAAGGCAATGGAGACGCGCGGCTGAAGCCCTATGTTCCTCTAGGAATTAAAGGAAATAATAATAATAATGTAATAATCACTTAAAATATGCAATCAAAAATGAGCTTTACATATTCTTCAATGGAGTAAAATGGTAACATTAAGTATTCTATAAAATATTTTCGTTTCTTAGACTAACTACTCCCTTGGATTGTTTTTGGGTGGTTATACGATTTCATCTGAAATAAGTTGTCTCCATACCTATATATATACATAGAAAAAATTGAATACATTAAAATAACTACTGGAAAATGCTTTATTTTTTCTTGTAATGAAAAATGCATTTCTTTTATTTGAGTATACACTTATTCTACGTATATTGTTTTACTAAGAAAGCATTAAAATCTTCAGTGATTTCAAATGAAGTATATTTTCAGCTAACGTATATAACTGTAAAAAAATTGTCTGCAAACAGAAGCTATTAGGAGGTGATTTATCCCAGATTAGATATAACAAAATGCTGAAAGACAATATATATATATATATATATATATATATATAAATGTCTGTAATAACTATAATCTACTTACTTCAAACCCCACTGAAGGAATTTGTGGGACTCATTCTGCACGTTTTATCACAGGATCTACTTAAATTTCTATCACCTTGAGACATATATATATATATATATATATATATATATACGTAATACCACAATCAGTAAATGTGTTTCATTCCAGCGCATTATGGCTTCATTGCATATTGTAAGTTTTTTTGTCTGTAGCTCTTTACTTGGTATCTGGTGATATTTTTTTTAACCTGTGTTTCAGAAGTGATGTGTGTAGATTTTGTTGGTTCCTTTGCGTTCCCAATGTAACGTTTAGTAACAGTAGCGTTTTTCTTTTACTGATTCACACTTAATCCTTTCCTCTTCACCGAGTTTGCCACCAACTAAGCAAGGTAAAGAAGTGCATCGGCTGATGAATTATGAATTATCAAAACACTTAGCTCTAATCATATTATGCCCCATTAGAAATCGTTCAAACTCTAGACTAACTAATTCATATGAGATGAAAAATAAACTAAACGACATTCAACTAGAGAATAATGAAAAAAATGGTTAGTTTTGATATAACTAGTCTTTATACTAATATACCAGCCAATATGGCCTTAGAAGCAGTTAAAAAAGAACTAACTGCGGATCCTGAACTCATTCATAGGACAAAGCTGCCAATTGAACAAATTATTTTAGAAATTAAGTTATGCATCACACTGACTATCTTTAAATTCTAAAGTAAAATATATTGACAAACAGAAAGTGTAGCCATGGGATCACCAGTATCCCCTATCGTAGCAGATATATTTATGGACAGCTGAGAAAATATGGCTCTTAATACGTTTACTCCTACTCCAAAAATATGGTGGAGATATGTGGATGACACTTTCACAGTGTTAAAAACAGAACATATCTCTAGCTTCTTGACACAAATACACTCACTAGTGGAGGGAATATAATTCACATTTGAATCAAAAAATGAATAAGGAGAATTAGTTATGTTAGATTGTAAAATAAAACGAATAGAAGAAGTTAAACTACATACTAGTGTGTACAGAAAGCCAACTCATTCTATTAGATACTTAGACTTTAATTCATCTCATCCGTTAACTGTTAAGCCAGGCTTAGTTAAGTGTTTAACAAACCGAGCAGTAGCACAAGAAAAGACCTAAATGATGAACTAAAACAGACAGAAGAGGCTTTGGTGTTAAATAACTATCCTATAAAATT